AGATATCGATGGACAGAGAGTGGACATTCTGACAACTCACAATGGAAAGACGACCAAACACATCACTGATCCAAACAGACGATACAGTGCAGGAGCAAATCTAGTACTGAGTATATTCAGAGTCTCTCAGTCAGACGCTGGGAGATACGACTGCAATGGAACTACAGTGGAGCTCACTGTGACTGAAGGTAAGGTTAAAAATTCTATTTTAAAGGTGTTTTTTTATCTATATCATCCACATTTTGTTAAAATGAGCCATGAAAAATAACATTTACTCTACTTTAGAAAAGCAATTATGGGTCGTTGATGAGAATGACATCTTCACAACAGGTAGTCTACGTGACAAAAACACATGACAAATGATCTCTTTTTCAATAAATATTGTAAAGTCCAGCACAAATACAGATAGGTTTGCAGTGTATATGAAATAAAAGGCCTAAACATAACTCATAACTCGTACATGAGATGTCAGTTTTGTTACATGACCATCTTGCTAGATTGCATAGAGGTTAACAGGATAATCCAGTAACATTCAGAGTTCAACTTTAAGTTGAAATAATTACTCTAATGCTCTAAAATCTGAAACCGCAATGCAATCAGTACTTAAATGTTGCCTGAATGTATTTTATAAGTGCCAAATGTCCAGAAATAAGCATTGTCATAGCGGTGGATGAACAAATGATACATATAAAACACAGGCCTCCACATTAAACACTGTTATATTGTGATAACTTATCAAAATCTCCCCTAAAGTAGTGGTGATATAGCCAAGGGCTGACCCTAACATCAAGCATGGCCTCGCATATTAAGAGTAAAAATGCTCTAACTACCCTGTGTTAACAGTTGCATTTTACATTGAAAGTCTGCCATCAGGGCAGCTACCAGTCAGAGTTTGATGACATTGCACCCATAAGCCCTCTCTCTCTATGTATACACTATATAGCCAAAAGTATGTGGACACCTGACCATCACACCTATGTGAGCTTGCTGGAAATCCCATTCCAAAACCATAAGGCATTAATATAGAGCCTATACAGAGACTATACGGCTATGTACATGATTTTTTACAAGGAGTGTGGCTGAATCACCTGAACCCAATAATTAAGAGGGGTGTCCACATATTTTTGGCCATATAGTGTATACATAGAGACATGCAAAATACCCAACCACAGATCACTGCTATAGTGTGACAAATAGGGAAGTGTGAATTTCAAAATTGAGGCTGCAACAATATGCAAGGATATCTTACTTAAAAGCTATTAAATGCTTCCAAAAAGCTCTTGAATAACTTCTAGTGCAATGCCACAAGCTTCACAAAGTTTTTTCCTTAATGCAGCACCTATATCTCACTCTGAAATGCTCTGTTGCAAAGTCTGTTTCCCATCAGCCTGATACAACTTAATGCGGGTGGTTCCTATCCCTGTGTAAAAGAAGCTCCTTTATTGAGTGAGTGTGAACACACATTCAGATTGAAATGGACGTTGCTACAGTAGCACCTACTATTAATTTTTTCATCAGAGGTCCAATAAAAAACGACTAAAATGTAAAGTATGTTTATGTTTGCGGTCACACTTTATTTGGATGGTCCCGTATAGATGCTCTATAGCTACTTAAATCATTAACAAACTTTCTGGTGATCCTCAGTTGATTATCAACATTATGGTTAGGGTTAGGAGGAGTAGATGTAGGTTTTGCCTTGAGGTTAGGGTTTAGGGTTTAGGGATAGATTTAATAAACTCTTTCACACTGAACTTCAAGGTTATTTGAATTTAATGGGTATTTAGTTGAGTGGTATTAAAAAGCAGACTGGGCATTTACAACGCACCTATAGTGAACCATCTAAGTTACATTCAACTTCAAGTTCAGTGGCATTTAATGACTATTCAGTTGAATGTTACTTAAATATATACTGAACATTTACAAAGAATCTACAGTGGACCATCCAAATAAAGTGTTACCTTTTCTGTCTGTCTCTCTGTTTCTCAGTCTCTCCAGATGATGTGAGTGTGGTAGAGACAGTGCTGATGTTTGTTGGAGTTGGTCTGGCTGCTCTTGTCCTCCTCTTGGCTACAGTAGTTGCAGGCAGAGTGATCCTCCATCAGGCCGGACAGACAGACCAGACAGCAGAGAGAGATGCTGTTGAGGTCAGCCCTGTTGGAGTTTCACTCTATGAAAATGATCAGTGAAACATGCCCAGTCAAAAACACACATGGTCTGTACTTCTTTCTGATTACAGCGTCTCCTCTTCTTTTGCTTCACTGATTCTCTTCGGTCTTGTAATGATTATGGATGTGCATGACTACTCGAGAACCAACTGTTTGATACTGTTTGATGCAGTGGTTAAATTTTCAAATGTTCTAATGTTTCTATATTAATTCAGGATGCAAAAGTGTCTAAGAATCAACATTGGATATGAATGTTCAGATGCTTTAATGTTGTTTTAACAGTGACTATGTGGTATCTGGGTGAGAAGTTACATACCTAGTAGGACTGACAATCTCTAGGCACCTCAATTTCAACTCATGGTGGCAAGATGTGATTATAAAACAATTCCTGATGCATCTAGTTTCACGATTATATAGCCTAATCTGCTAGAAAAAATCAGCAGAGCTGGAAAAAACCTCCATAATGGTAACTTTAAAGGAGAAGGAAAACACATACTTTACTTTTAATGTAAGTCAATGGAACCAGACCTTTTTCCAAATCATTTTGAGCCATTTCTTTTGGTCAATTTATTATGAACATTTACACACAATGTAAAGGGCAACATACATTTTATGTCAAAAACTGAAAAACGACAAAATGGTGATACAAGGTTTTGTTCCAAGTGCAGCGATTGTGTTTTGGATGCTGCTATGCATGGTGGCTGAGAAGATCCAACAAACTGCAAATAGAAAATGAGCTGCAAATGCAAGCCAGAGGTCAGTCACAACACAGGAGGACACTCAAAGAGGACGGAGCCATTTAGACTTTTAAATTCTATGAAGCAGGTTAACTTTTACCTCAGCAGACTACTACTATCAGAATACCATAATGGGAATTAGCTGTACAGTGTAACTGTAAGAGCTGAACTAGAAATATTAGCACTATTCAGTACCAATATATGCACATATTTATTCAGTATTGTCATTATTTGCTGTTACCTTCGCCTCCTTGTACATTCATCATTGCATATGGATTCAAGGTATTCTTCTGATAGCAGCGATATGTTTTTTTTTGGACCAACTAAACCAGCACCAGACAGGCACTATAGTATCATCACCATACCTGTGTGCAATAAAATCAATACTTAATGTGCGATATGTGTATAATATTCTTATAGTGTAATAATTTTTTTGCTTTTTTTATTTATATTGCACGGTGATGCAGTGGGTAGCACTGACGCCTCACAGCAAGAGGGGTCTGGGTTCAGTTCCCCGGCCGGGTAACCAGCGTCCTTTCTGTGTGGAATTTGCATGTTTTCCCCGTGTCTGTGTGGGTTTCCTCCCACAGTCCAAAGACAATCTGACATGCTAAATTACCGCTAGGTGTGAGTGAATGTACATGTCTGTGTTTCTGCCCTGTGGTGGACTGGTGACCTGTCCAGGGTGTTTCCTGCCTTCTGCCAAAGGGATAGTGTCCAGCTCTTCCTGCGACCCAGAAGGATAAGCGTATTAGAAAATGTATGGATATTTATAATGTTTATTTTGATAATTTTGTGAAAGATAGAGTTTATATTTGATCTTTCATGTTATATTGTCTATACGGTAATAAGTAACAAACTGTAACCTTGTTAGGTAAATAATATGGTTAATATCTTGTTATTTCTCTTCTTGTTACTTCTTTTCTTGAGTGCCTCGCTGTCGCTTTGCTGCTGTAGCACTGTGAATTTCCCCAGTTGTGTGACAAATAAAGGACTATCCTATAGTAAAATCTATCCTATATCCTATCCTATAAGTAAAAACTAAACATTTTATTAGAACTACATCTATAACTACATCACTTTAATGTTTTTTGCATCATATATCATATACAGTACAGCTCTGACTCTGAAAATGACTCTGAATCTTACTGGATTAGCCTTTTAACCTCTTTATTGTGGTGGTTGTTACACATTGTTCTCATGTAGGTATGTTTACTGTGATTCCAGGCCTTTTTATTTCAGATGCATGATCAATGTACAGCCATACGCATGTGTGCATTAGTGACATCTTGCATTTAACTTTACACCAAAGTCTCTTTATAAAGTCTCTGCGAGGCTGTGAGTGTATTTTACACTACACTCGTACAAAAGACGGTTCCTCAAGGGTTCTTCAGCAAAGGCAATGGTTCTGTATAGATCCATTTCATGCTTAAAGAGTTCTCTGCATGGTGAAATGGTTCTTCAGTTTGACGAAGAATGTGTTGTATATGCTTCTATGTAGAACTTTTTTGTAAGTGTTCTTTTATTGTTGCAAGCTTGAATGTAACAACAGCAGAACCCTTTCTGGTGTTGTATAGAACCATTTTCCACCTTATCCATCAATCTGAAGGACACTTCACCATGCAGGGAACCACGTAAGCATGCAAATGGTTCTTTGAGTGTTTCACGGTTCTATGTAGAACCATTTCTTTACTAAAGAACCCTTGACGAAGCATCTTTTTTTAAAGTGAACCTTTGCTTATACTGATGTATACATATGTTTATAGTCATATTTATTAGTACAAAATCAGAAGACATCATATAATTACATTTAATAATAAAAAAACAAAAAAACAAAAGTGTCTGCCTTTTTGGTGCTACCTAGAACCTACCTAGTTTTCCACTTTCTCCATCAATCTGAAGAACCATTTTACCATGCAAAGAACAACTTAAGCATAAAATGTTTCTATACAGTACTCAAGGCTCTAAATAGAACCATTGGCTTTGCTAAAGAACCCTTGAAGAACCACCTTTTTTAGGAGCGTAGGGAACGCCAGATCCTGGCTCCTCCTGTCGGCGGCGCTGTGCTAACCCTAACCGCCGTGTGTGTCACTGAAACGGGAGAGAAGAAGAGGTTTTTCGCAGAGCTGGTCGAGAATGAGACAGAAAACATGAACGGTCTTTAAATGACGCCGAAAAAAGGAGCTTTTATTCAACATTAACCGGGTTTACCGACTAGGGGGGTGTTTAAGGAGCCCTGACCGCTTCCAGCTGATCCTTGTCCGTTTGTTTTTGGGGTAAGATTCACTGAGTCATCTGTTTTCTCTCTAAAATACTGCGGCAGCTCCTAATTCAGCTTCTGCCTATCGAATTATCCGGTCCACCTTAAATGATGCAGTATTTCCATTCTGGTGCCTGAGGTGTCATAATGTAACTGCTGCGCCATTTAAGGTGGAACGGAGAATTGGAACAAGAAAGCTAACTCTAGCTTCATATCCACAAAGCTACAGATCCGAAATCGTTTCTTGAACGTTTTTAACCCCTGTTTTATGTCTTTTCAGCACATTTAGAGACATTTTAAAGGCTCAAACTAGCTGGTATAATATACGCTAACTGCGTGCAAAGGTAGCTAATGACTGTAAACTGGGCTGTTTAAACTGGAAATTGGACGTTGTTTTTGTACATTTGACTACGTTGCCTACCTTTTCTGATCAGCTTTCTTCTTGGCAGATTTTCCTCTTCTTGACAGTTTCACTGACAGCTGTCAAAACAGCTGTTAGCCACATTAACGAGCCAAGCTAAGCTGAACTGAACGCCTCCTCAGCTTCAGTCCAGACCTGATCCTGTTCTGGAGAGCTGGAGTTCAGTTTGGTGGTTTGTTCTGCTTTGACCGTCCTTTAGCTCATAAGTTAGAGCGGTGAAATCACCAAAATGTGCTGTGTTGGCTTTTCCTGACCCTCAAGAGACAGAGCCGGCCTGCTGACTGTGATTTTTATCATTATTGTGAGAAAAAACATGCCACTGATGGATTCCTAATGGGATCCGAAGGAGTCCTATAGGACAATAATGGTATTTAATAATTAACATTAAGCTAACAGAAATTAGAAAGCATCTAGTTTTAATACTAATGGTTGTTATGGTCTTTTTTTCCAGCAGGGATTACCAGATATCTGGTAAATATTTATTAGAAACGATATTGGTTTCTCTATGCTGTGTTAAGTTGGCTATCATGTTGATGTTTTCAGAATTGACAGTTGTTTAATGTTGTGTCCTATTTGTTTGTTTACCCAATTATTGATGCCAGAGGCCTTCATTGATTTAACTTCCAATAAAAATTATCATCAAATATGTTATTCGCTTTATATGTGTGAAAAGAGCAGAAAACATGAAACAGAAAATTATACAAAAGCAACTAAATATAATATAATTTATTTCAGTCTTCAGTGTGTTACTCTTTACCTTTATTACAGCTTCCATTCTTTTCAGGAGACTCACTTTCAGTTTCTCAAAGAAATTTTTTCACACCTCCAAAGTTCAGTCTTAGAAGTTGGCTGATCATTTTCTGAAGTAATCAAACCCATTCAGTGGAGTTGGGGTCTGGACTCTGGGGTGGCCAGTCCATTGTTCAGCTTCTTTGTTTGATGTGTCCGTCTTCAAGTACAAATAACATTAAAGGGTTTGCTGGGCCATTTACAAGGCTCTTATCTAGGAAGTCAAGTATTATTTGTAGTTATTTGTCTGATTACAATTTCATTAAATTAAATTGTCTGTTGGTGGTGGGATTTAAAAAAAAAATAAATCATGAGAAGTTACTTCTGTATTTGTTTGTTTATTTTCTTTATTCTAATGTTACAAAGTGTTTTTCCAACATAAACATATATATATTTTGTTGGCGGTTGCATGGTTCATTTCTTGTTCTTCTGTAGGCGCTATGGATAAGGTGTTGAGTAGTGGTGGTACACCCACTGGCCCTGTGGTCCAGGTGTGTTTTCCCAATGTGCGAGCGTCAGTGCTGGACAACCTGAATCGGCAGCGAGAGGAGGGCCGGCTGTGTGATCTGTCCATCCAGGTCCAGGGCCAGGTGTTCAGGGCCCATCGCTGCGTGTTGGCAGCTTCTTCACCTTATTTTCATGACCAGGTATTTATACAAAGAACGATTGAATTTCTAGATCAAGGTTCAGTTTAATCGCAGGCACATGCACTCTGAATATATGCCCGTTTACAACTCTGATATACCCTGACAGTTTTTCATATTTCAGTTACAGAACCAAAGTCATTTAGATTGGTTTAGTGTTAAGTAGTTAACTGTAGAGAAATTTACTGACTTCACTGATTTCTTTACAGTGGTGGTGATAGGAACCAGGGGTCACAATGTCTACAACACAAATATGGATATTTTATTTACTATCCAAAACCACCAGTGAACCTACACGAGTCTTCTGAGTTTTATATGTAATGTTGATGAGGGGCAAATAGGCCAAAGACTGACCTCAAAACTGTTGTAAAAATATGTCGCAGACAACAGGCAGTGTATTCATAAGCATTTCATATAATAACTTTCTGTGATGGAAACTTTAGAGGAATTAAACTTTAAAGAAATCTGGTTCCAATCTGGTTCTACTAATGTGAAAAAAAAATTGACCAGGTTTCTCTAGAATGAGCATTTTACACAAAACCACTGTAAATTGTAAATTATTTTGTTTACATCTTGACTGTTTAAATATGCAGTTATAAAATCCATGGAATTCTCCTTTAAAGACATTTTCTTGATACATATCATAATACTTTGGCTCACAGACTCACACAAAATGGTTAGACACTCACAGAATGAGTAGTAGTGGCATGTTTAAAAAGTCTGGGTAAGTGAATTTTTCAGTGATTTTTATTCAGCACCACTAAATCCAGTGTTCTGTGTTTTTTAAGTACTGACAGTATCCACTCAGATGCTCAGAAAAAAACATTTATTTATTTTAATTTATCATAACTTTTAAAATCTTGTCATATTGCCCACCTCTGGTGTCCTCCGTGTATGCAGACTCACTCAATATATTTGTACCTGCTCAGGTTCTGCTGAAAAACGTCACTACGGTGTCTCTGCCGTCGGTCATGGACCCCCTAGCCTTCGAGAGTGTCCTGAACTCTGCCTACACGGGTCAGCTGAGCATTGTGCGTGATGACATCGTCAACTACGTAACGGTAGCCAGCTTCCTGCAGATGTGGCACATCGTGGACAAGTGCACGGACATCCTAAAGAGGTCACGGCCTTTGACGCAGGTCAGCCCTGGTGAGGCCAGCTCCTCCCGGCACCAGTCTCCCAGCAGCTCGGACTGCTGCCTGACGGACCCTGAGGAGCGAGAGCGAGGACAGAGCGATCATGGCCCGGCCCAGGAAAGAAAGCCTCTCATGGGGGAGCATGGCACTCTACCTCCCCTGGCCACCTGGAGGAGACCCCAGCAACTCCAGCATCAGCAGGGCAGGTGGGGCAGATCCAGGCTCTCTCTCCCCTCCCAAAACAGACCGGAAACTCCCCCTTCCAACTGCAGCCCTGCTGGGGAAGGAGATCCGCCCTGCAGCCCAGAGAGTCTGTGGATGACCAGCAGTGGCACCGCTGCAAATGATAGACACCGAGTCCGTGCCCGACTGAGGGGGCCACAGGAAAGCAGGGAGCGAGGGATGAGGGAGGATGAGGAAAGGAGGCGAGGGGAGAGGTGGATGGAGGCAGATGAAGGTGTAGGGGAAGAGTTGGAGGAGGAGAGAGTGAAGGTGGAGTTGGAGGAGCGTGGCGCCGGTGAGTGGAGCGTCTGCATCACTGCTGTTTAACTTCCGTCCCGCGGGGGGGCAAGCTCTCTCTCACAGTCGAAAAAGCAGCAGCATCAAGCGCTGCCCATCTGATCTTTAAAAAGGGAGCGTCCCCAGATTCTGACAATGTTCTGCACCCTGTTTGTGTCTGTGTCTCTGTCTGTATTTGACCGTCTCTTCTCTGCTCTTCTCTCTCTCAGGAGGCTGTGGCTCAGGGGCAACTCTCAAAGAGGAGGGAGAGAGAGAGGGAGGGAGAGAAAGTGCAGAGAGGGACAGAGAGCAGGAGGAAAGGTTTCTGTCAGCTCAGGAGCCACAGGAATCGCTCACCACAGCAGGAACCGCTCCTCCGCCTCTCCTGGGGCCCTCTGCACGTGTTCAGTGGCAGCCTGAGGCCGACTGGTCGGCAGGCCCGTATACTCAGCCGGCCGGCAGGTTGCTGGAGGATCATTCCAGAGCAAAGGACGGCGAAGATGATGTGGAAGAAGAGATGGACTTCAGCCGTTTCGCTGAGGCAGGTTTTGAGGGCGACACCTATGATGAGATTGAGGAGGGCACAGGACAGGTTTCACAGAGACCTTTGCTGCCCGTGTCACCTGGCGGCAGTGCCGCAGGTGAATTTGTGCTGGGGCCTTCAGAGTTAACCTGGACATCTGGAGCTCTCTCTCCCCCATCACACTCTTCCTCTCTCCCTCCTTCCTCCTCTCCCATCCCCTCCTCCTCCTCTCCCCCATCCCTGGCAGGAGCACCCTACACGGGCAAAGTGCACTTCTGCCACTGTGGGAAGGCCTTCACGCTGAAGAGCATGCGCGACCGCCACGTCAAAATGCAGCACCTGAACCTGCGGCCCTTCGCCTGCCCAGTCTGTGCCAAGAGCTTCAAGATGAAGCACCACCTGACCAAGCACGTGAAGACACATGGCGGCCTGCGCCCATATGAGTGCGCGTTCTGTGGCAAAAAGATCGTCTGGAGGGACAGTTATCTCAAGCACCAGGCGCGGTGCCAGCGCCTTGCCGCCAAGGCAGCCGCACCTGGGCATCATCCTGCCGACACAGCCGCTGATGGCAACGAAGCAGAGCCAGGGCAGGAGGAGGCGGGGTTTGAGTATGGAGTTTACATGTGTGAAGGGCAGGGCCAGGTGAAGGTGGAGCAGGGCGAGGCGCAAGCAGATGAAAGCTGCATGGAGGGGTTAGTGGGGAGAATTTCGGGACAGGACAGAGTTCTGATGGAGCAGGTTCTAAAGGAGGAAGATAGTGGTAGGTACACGTGAGAAAGAAAGTGAAACCTGCCGTTCTTATCAAACCTTTCCATCTCTGTGCTGACATGAGGTTGCCGTCTACTTTCAGTGTCCCAGTCCAGGCTAATCTTACTGTCAAGGAGCTTTTTCAGAAGTTGTCCACTTTTCAGCATCTGAGGCAGCAAATGAAATGACCAGGTTTCAGGACCCTGTCTAACCCACAAGTCACAATCCAGCTGGACAACTTCAGAAAATGCAAAACGGCCCTATCATTCTAGGTTTCTCCCAAACTCTGTCAGTGATAGTCTCACCTTTTTTACAGTGGGCACTTGCGTCTGAGCTGACGATACCCTGTTTATTAACTAAGAAGCCACAACTTTGTCGTATTAGTAGCTCAAAATAAAGACACAATGCTTGACCTGCAGGAACAAGTAGCACATTTAGTCATATTTTTTAAGCTGTAAGTAGCACATCTGGTAATGTTACATTCATTTAAAGCTGTACCATGTAAAATCAGTTTGTTAAAATTGAAAAGATTAGTCAGGAGAAGAAAAAATATGCTAAAATATGGTGTGTGAAAAATAATTTAAAAGCCAGACACACTCGGAAGACGTCCTTCGCCAAGTTTGAAATCTCTTTGAATTATCTTTCAACGTATTCGCAATTTATTATTTATCCACTCAGTGAAGGGGTCCGAAGCACAACCCATGTTGCAAAATGTTTTTCTGCATGTTGCGTGTAATTACACATTTCCACCAGAGAGGTCTCCAAATTCCCAAAACCTACATAGTGCAGCTTTAAGATCAGAAAAATAAATTCATGTTGAGTAAAATTCAGCAAGTGGTTTTGAGAGACTGCAGGAGTTGTAACATTTCAATGAAGCCATTTGAATGAACTGTATGTGTCCTAAAACACATGTAATGTATTCCAGCAGCAAAAAAGCAAGATGAGCAGCATCTGATGGTGCAAGGCTAGCTAGAACAATTGAGAAGAGGAGCTGATTTTAGATCACCACTTTCACTCAGATACATGGCCTCCATGTGCACTGATGATAAATGACTGATGCAGATATGACTGCTGATAAATGGTTGATGTCGCTGCTGCCATTGGCCTTAATGGATTAACACAGGTATTTCCACAAAGAAAGTTACATGGGACATTCGTGCATGGAACGGTATGCAGTATTAACGTACCCAAACATAAATTATTTTTAAAAGTGTTGTTTTTCTTCAACCAGGTAGATGTTTGAGTTCAAACAATACTGTTCTATTTGACAAGCTTTAAGCATCGATTAAGCACTTGTGAAGATGGAAAACAACAAATATTTGAACCTAAATGACTTTGAATGACAAATGTTAACCTACACCATCCATGTGAGGAAACGCAAGATCTGTTTGTGGGCCACATGTCATGTTCATGGATATGGATGTAAGACACGGCTTTTGTTAATTTGATGTGAAATGTGTCACTTTGGCCTCATGGACCGTGCTTTGTGTAGCTTCATATGCAGTTCCTGTTCTTCCCCACTGGGGGGAGTGCTGGCAGAGCTTTAGTGCTAAATGTCAATCATTTGTATGATACTAAGTGATGTCTATAAATAAAGATTTTTTCAGACACGTGTCAGAACTGACTTGATGAGTGACCCAGACTGAGATGTTAATGTCCAGTTTCAGTCCTGGACACATTCTGTGCCTTATCTGATCTTAATACATGTGATCTAATCCAACACCAAGCATTACCAAACATCTCTTAAACTGCATCAGATGAATAAATCTTTTATAAACAAGCACAGAAATGCTTTTCTGAGATTGGGAGCCACTGGATTGTTGGTACACACAAAGGCACTGTGGTTAAACACAGACATTAACATGTATTTTACATTGTATTAGTTTTACAGTGACTCAGTAAAGAGTCCTGACAGCTGCTGCTGTTTTCCATTCCTAACAACTACCTGGATCCTGGATAGACTACAGTTGATATTCACAGTAACTTATGTAGAACTTCCAGAAGACCTAGAGTGACATTTTTTGTTCTCATGAAATTAGTCCCACCTACTGTAAAACTAAATGTGATTGGTTGATTCCTCTGTCAGTTCCCAATTATGTTAGTGGTTAATCTGATGTGCAAGACCTTCCGTTCAGCTCCTGAAGTCCTAACCAATGGGAGAGCTCACCTGGCTGTATCTACATAGAAGTGAAAGTGAAAACAAATCCTGAGTGGACTTTTCCTGTTGGGCATTTCAATACTTTAACCCGTTTGTTTCCAACCAACAATGTATAGAGAGTATTACTACAATACTTGCAGAGTTTAAATACAACATTATAATTCTATGAAATAAAAATTAACTGACAACTGGGGACCTTAAGGTTGTCTGTTCTTTTGTCCTAACATGCTTCAGCTACTTTTGTGGTGGAGGGTGGAATTGTGTGCATTTGAATTTTCACACTTGGCCCCAAATGAAAATGATCTTAATCTGTAAAGAAATCTGTATTATTTTTCCATGAGGTTCAAACTTTTTTTTGTTTTAACATTTTTTAGATAATATATTTATATACAACATGTAATGTTTTCTTTAGAAATAGTCATAATTCCTTTTTATACGATGATTTTCCAGCCTCATTTTATTCTTAAGAATTAAACTGTTGGCTGTGTTAGTTTCTGTGCCTTTAAGACTCTGATTGGCTACCTTCATTCAAAAGACAGTTTGGGTTGAAACACTGTGTTTTCTCTAGGATGTTTTTTAGCAGTGGTGGGAGGCCCACACTCCAACATTAACAACTTTGTCAGTTATTTTACTGACATTACCGCTGTTGCAACTAACAGACATTTTTGCTAACGGTAATGTTAGGTTAGCTGGACCATTATTTCACAATATATTAATAATAATAAATAATAATGATTAGTGGGTCTTGAGCATCAGTAGACAATGACTTCATATTGTAAATGTTTTATATAGTAAAATCTGTTTGACATTAGTTACTTTAATCTACCTTTCTCTCTTTTCTCTCTGTCTTTCTTAAGACTGTTCTTAAGACAGTTCCAAACACAGCCACACGAGGTCGCAGAGACTCCACTGAGCTCCTGATTCTATCAGATGTTCTCAGTTCATTTATCAGTCAGTGATTTTAACCTTTTAACACTTTCTATACTTTGCGTAGTTTCATGGTCAAAGTTAACACACAATTTAATTGTATTAGCGTAATTAATATTTTAATAACAGCTATTGGTGAATAATATTCATGTCAACATTTGTAGCATTAATAGTAAGCTGTATTTTTAGTGGAATATTCATATTAATAGAGAGCTATTTGATACTGTACATTGATTATCTTAACTCTTGGCTACTGCTGAGCACTGAAGTTAAAAACTGCTGGCATTCACTTTCAGCTGTGCGTGAATCCATTCCAGAGAAAATAAGTTTCTCATAGCTTAGAAGTGGTTCTTTTTCTGTAGCTGTGTAGAGTAAAATAAGTGTAGTGTAGTTTCATTCTGCTTTCAAGAGGTATAGTTTTTTGATATTTCAAAAAGAAAATTTGAAAGTAATCGATCAGAAACCAATGAGATGGCATCACTGTGACAATCCAGAAAAATACAATGAGTTTTAATGATTTTATACATTTTTCTTAAATTCTTGAATCTCATTTTTAAGTACATAGACAATCTTGCCCCAGAAATGCTTTGCCAGTTTATCACAAAACAGGAAAACAATTGAGTGCCAACCAGGGGAGCCGAATGCGACAATTCTATAATGCCAGGGCGTAGAACAATCTTTGGTCAATCATCTTTTACAGTTAAAGGCTGTGGTTAAGGAATGTATTACTTTCAGAAACCAAAACACAGAATGCTTTTTTATGTAAAAATGAATCACTGTCTTAAACAGAAACAAAAGAATTTGCAAGTTTTAACTGATATTGGGATATAAAGATGCATTCATATATTCAAATATAATCATACAAATACATATGAATGTATAACACAGCATGTATTTACTGTATGGGCTGTTTTCTTTATTTGTCTTTTTAATTTAAATGCCTAGTTACGTACTGGGGCTGCAATTTAGCTTAAGCTAGATGTCCTGTATTCACTACATGTGCTGCATTCTATGTAACAATGTTTATCTATATTGTCCCTGTCTGCTGTCTGATAAATGTGTGCAGTTTCTTATGTTCACTTGCCAACATGTAAAACAATATGCTGTCTCTGTGCAGTAGGTATGAGTAGCCTAACTCCACTGAAAAGATCTGCTTCCTTTAATCCAGGAGTCCAGCGGCACAGCATGCTGCTCCAGCACTGTTCCAGCTGGTGGATCCTCAAACCCAACTCATTTGTATTGGATTTAAGTTTTTTCAAACCAGTACATTAATACTGGATTTTAGTGAGTGGTATTTTTTACACGCTGTATTGCTTTTTACTGTGTACCAGAGCCAGAACATGCTAGAACATACACCACACTGTAGCCATTGCACATCACACGTCTTTAACTACGAATACAATGTGGTGTTTCCAGTTTGTTAAGTAGGTACTTTTGCAGACGCTCAGGCAACTCATTACTCCACCCTCTTCAACATGCAAAACATACCTTGGCAAAAACTTCCTTAAAGACAGTTTGTGGAACACAATTTTGTTACTAACATGCTATAAGATGGTTTAAATCTAATAATAATCCAACAATAAAATCAGCATTTTAAAAAAATGAGTGATACAAACAATCAACTAGGCAGCTGAAGTACAAGAAAAGGACAATTGTTCTTATGTCTGAAGGAATTTATTGTTGTGAAATGTGCTGTGTTATACGTTCTGTAGTGTGTGTGACACAATAAAACACAGCCAACACACAAACCTCTTCAACTAACAAGCAACCCACTGTTGTACCTTTGAGGGAACATTTATGTTCTTTGTACCTTGATGAACAGAAAAAGTAGCTGCACAGAACCTTTATTTCTAACAGTGTATATACATAACAGAGTGGAATATAGAAAACAAAAACAGTCTACAGTAATTTAGCTCCCCCCAGTTTATAAGGAGGGTTTCAGCCCAGGGTACAGAGCTCATTTACACATTTACATACATCATCCTAAAAAAAACAGTTTAATTATGAGGGATTTACGTAAACATAGAGTTTATATAAATAAACAAACCAATACACTTAGAAAACAGAGTAAACTGTAACAAAATAGTCTACTACAGTTATCTTTGTGGTCACTACCTATTACAAAACACAGCTATGGACACGAACTTCAAGATCCTCTATGCTTTAGTACTGTAAACATTACACATCCGTCATCTTACACAATGGAAACAAAGCTTTTTCTAGTTCTTCCAGGTACTTTTTTACATTGTCAGGCAATTCCTCATTCCACCTTCTTCAACCTGAAACAACTCCAAGCACCTCCTCCTGTGGTGCCACACATAGTGCGACTGTTTTAAAGAGAAAATAAAAGCTTCAGTAGCATCCATTTTGTGAAGATAGATCAAGAACAACATTTGGATGGTGAAGGGATGACAAAACTTGGCTTGATTTAGTCTTAGTTTGATGAGCGATATAAACAAACTGTGCAGGTTCTTAATAAAGTTAGTTGTGGTAGAATAATTTGTTACATTCTTAGTGTATGGGCTACTTTTTAAAACAGGCAATTTCCTCAATTTTCATCCTTTTCTGTTTTCACCAACCAGACGCTCCTTAGCTGTTTTTATGTACAGCGCCCTCCACAAATTTTGGCACCCCTGCTAAACATGAGCAAAGCAGACTGAAAAAAACGTTCTTTATTGATTATCCTTTTAATCTTTAGTTCAAAATATTAACAAACATCTAACTTTTATTTGAAGTACACAATTCTCAAATCTGTGTGTGTCACAGTTGTTGGCACCCCTTCATTTAATACTTTGCGCAGCCTCCCCTTTGCAGAGATATCAGCTCTGAGTCTTTTATAATGCTCAATGAGACGGGAGAACACATAGCAAAGAGCACAAAATCTGAGAACGTTGCTCATAACATTTTTCTTTTAGCTGCCCAATTAACTCATGTTTACCAGGGGTACCAATATTTGTGGAGGGCACTGTATATGTTTCTAACTCTCCTGTTATGTTCAGCTGTAAGGAACAGCAATGTTCCAGGGTTTAAATGATCTGATGCATATTTAAACATCCAAAAGTATTCAAAAAACATATTTTTTCTCCATAAGCATCATTGTTGGCTCTATTAATGATCAATTTAATCAATATTTAGTGTAATCAAGTTTTTAACCCCTTCTAGATTATGATTTACTTATAATAAGTCACTCGTTTTTCATTTAAAAAAAAATTCTTCTTTTTTCTATACCTTAGCAAAAACTAGACATTCAATGCATTTGTTTTATTAATTCTTGACGTTTTGGCGTATTTTCTGTCATGGGGCATGTTGGTTAATATAAACAAAACGTCTCTCCTGTTTGAGGTCAAATTGACCCTTTCAATTCAAACCACAAATCACAATCAATAAACGAGCCTTAAGTATTATCTTATAACTACATTTACAACTACATTTTTTCAACAATGTTTAAACAACCCAAACAAGAAGTGTGTATGTGTGTGTGTGTGTGTTTGTGTGAGAGAGAAAAAGAGTGTGAACCAGGTTTATGCCACATTGTGAGAACCAAAACCTGTTCATACACTCACTTGGTGGGGACCTTTCATACTCGTCAACATAAATCACTACATTTTAAGGTGATGGTCAGGGTTAAAGTGGTAGTTCTGGTTAAGGTTTACATAAGTCTGCAGAAAATAAATTGAAGTCTATGTAATTCACAGAAACAAAATTGTGTGTGTGCATGTGTGTGTGTGTGGTTGTAGGCAATCTCATCGTGTCTCAAAATTGAATTTTTTTCAAACTTGGTAGACTCCATTCTCACTGCTGGATCAAATTGTCCTGAACACTATGTGTATAATATAAACATGCAGAGAGGGTTAGAAAACATTAGTCATTTTCCATTTACATGTTCACTGCACTAATTAAGCCCAGCAGAAAAGATTTCATGTCTCTCATTTAATTATGATATATATGATATATATTTTATACAAGATAATAACACATGAGCTTGAATTCGGGTGTGTGTGTGAGTGTGATGAGAAAGAGAAAGAGAGTCAGCAGAGAGCTTTTACTTTTCCTTTTCTCCACTCATGACCGACAGTGTCTCAGTGGTTCAGGCCTCCATGTTGGTATCAATAATGTTGGTGGTTTGAATCTTCAGTGCAGCTCAGAGAGTTTGATAGTGAACAGCAGGGCTGCTGCTATTAAAGACTCTGAAGATCAGAGAACCACAGCAGTCTGTATGTAGTGGACGTGACAGTGTGTTTACAGTTAAACATTATTTTCAGCACTTTATTTATTTCTAGTTTTCTATTTCTAGCTCCCTTCTCTGGTTCATAATGAAGTTCAGACTAGTAAGTAAACACTCTCCTGAGGACTGAAACTGAGGACATCAGACAGTGAAACACTCACTGTATCATTTACAGAAGTCTAAAATGTTCAGTCCTCTACATATACAGCTAAACTCGACACTCACACACTGGAAATATATGAAAAAGGCAGACAGATGTCTTCACTGTCTAATCTCTCTATTCGGAGCACAAAGTATGCATTATAAACAGTAACTACACACTGCAGTATAACTGACTCTCATATCAAAGAGCATCACACTCATTCAGAGATGATTTAAAATGATATTGTCCATAGTAGACAGGAAGCTTCTCTCTTAAACTCAGTCTAGAAGCTGCTGCTGACTTTCACTTCCATGATGATCTGTTCCTGACTTGCAGCAGAACACATCCCACTGAGATACCCAAACTTACTACAGAGTTGATTTGACTTGAGTTTACAGTTAAACTTCATTCATAAAGATCTAGACGAGTGGACAGTTACAGACCTACTGTTAGAACAAGTGAAAGATGTATTTGAAATAATGACTGGCTGGTGTTGAATGCATCGTTTTCATGTTTGGACTTTGGTAAGAAAGCATTTTCAAGTAACGCCCCGTCAGTGTGGAATAACTTTTAACGACTACAACTACTCTTAGTCAATTTAAAATATTATTCGGTTTATGAGAGCTGTAGATATATTGTTATGTAACTTTTGACTTGTTTTAGTTCTTTTGTTTGTTCTAATTGTTTTAATGATGTAGACTTTATATGTTGTCATCATTTTTTCAATGTTGTATTTTTATGTATGTTTTACAGCTCCCTATTGCAAATAAGACCTAGGTTTGTATGGGCTTACATGTACCTTACACGATGGTAACAATGCTGTTTTCAATGTTTCTTAAGGAAACACTTTTTGACATGTAGTCTAACCTGTTCAGCCAGGTAAAAAAAGATTGTGCTGTGATTGGTCAGGCAGCACATTACTCCACCTTATTCACCCTGCATACAAACTACCAGCACTCCTCTCCTCTGGTATGTAGTCCAGTCCAACTGGTTTAAAGAGAAGGTAAAATCTTCAGTAGCGTTCATTTTGTGGAGAGAGGAACAAAACATTCAGAAAGAACACAGAAAGGTAAATTTTGTCACATCTTCCAGAATTTACTGACTGAGTTGATAATTAAAGATATTTTAGATGATAAATGTAACACAGATACAACCGTATTTAAAGGAGCAGCTTTCAGAAGAAGATTATATGTAGACTTGTCTGTTTGTTTGTGTGTGTGTGTGTGTGTGTGTTCAGGATTCAGTGTGATCTGAAGGAGGAGAGATGTCCTCCAAAATGAGTCTCTCTGAGGAACAGGACACACAGGAAGCTGAGAGGTGAGAGAATAATGTGATCTGGTGTAAAGTGAGTTTGTTCTCTAGTTCACCACCATGTAAGACAGTTTGTCTGATGATGTTTGTGTTTTAGGCTGGATCACGGGGAGAGACCTGACTCACCTGTGCCCAGCTGTGTGTCCATGAAGAGTGACCATTCTATGGACGAATTAATAGAGCTCAGAGAGGATGACAGTTCTACTAAGCCCAGGTAAGAATGATGTGAAACTGAAGAGTGAAATTCTAACAGAGCAGATACTCTTTGGGCCAGATAGCTGAATTTCCAACTCCCTATTCACCATCTTACTCACTCACACGTACGGTCATACGGGTCAACCAGCAATGGCAAAAATCCCAGTCTACAGAAAATTCTCTTCAGAATTGTGGCTGGAAGACAAAACAGATGGACAGGGACTGTCGGCGTGTTCCACAGCTTGTAAATAAAAATTGCTTCAATTCCAGGCAAGAATTGCTTTTAGAAGTCAACGCAGGTGCTTCACTACCAATTTCTGAAAGAACACTCCGTACAGAACTGCATATCATAAACATATGGAGCAGAGTGACACGCGAGAGGCCTTTGCTCACTTCTGCTCACTAATCTGGTCAGATGAATCTCGTTTCTGCCTCTATATGAATGACGCTCCATGTCACATTCATCGAAGGCCTCAGGAAGCCTTCAATGAGGACTGCGTGTAAGATGTGGTTGAAACTGAAGGAGCTCTGTGATGTTCTAGGGCTGTTTTAATTACATGGAAATAGGTCCTTTAGGTGACAGTAAATTTGAACCACAGTGCCCACACTGAGCTGCTGGACAACCAGGTTTTGCCTTTTGCTCATCATCTCACAGAGGAACATAACATTCCCTGTATTCCAAGATGACAATTCTCGCATTCACAGGGCTGCAAATGTAACATTCAGGAGCGTTCACACATCTGGACTGCCAACAAAATCTCCACATTTGAATCCTCATGCAAATCTGTAGGACCACCTGAAACAAGGAATAAGACGCCAGTTTTACAGAGTTTTATTGGAATAACAGAGTAAGAAGACAGTCCAGGTCAAAGAATCCAAAAACTGTGCAATGAAGGGCAGACAGGCTCAGAATCCACATGACTGGCAAGAAGTCCAAACCAAAATGGCAACAGGCAGCAAATTAGCAAGACTTAGAACCGAGTAACACACAAGAGACTTTGCAAGGAGTTAGACTCCTGAGGTGTGTTTAAATAGGGAGCTGAATAAAGACCAGTTGAAGGTCGGAGCTGGTGATTAGTAGGTCAGTGACGTTGAACAAGGCAGGGTGGAGGGGGCAGACCTTGGAGTGTGCCAGCAGGCATCAATTGTAAAATGAGTGTATATTTATAAATAACAATAAAGTTGATAAGATAATACATTTCATATTGTGTCCTTGTACTTACATTTAAATGCAGTTCAAAGTGGATTAACAAATCACTACTTTCTGTTTTTATTTGCATTGCACATACTGTCCCAACTTTTTTAGAACTGGGTTTATACTTCATACATTTTGATTTTGACCTTCAGAGTCCTCAAAATTTCGAAGATAAGGAGATTTTTTTCTTTTTCTTGCCAATCAGTCGTCATAGGCATTTGTCTTTATTGTTTTAACAAAGTGTCCCACCAGATTCATGTCAGCATAAAATGACTGTCTACTTTTATGCTAATTTGTGTTTGTGTGAGGAGAGTTATTTTTTCTTCTTAATCATCATTATAATCAACACATGCATCATATAAAGATAGTTTACTGAAATATTTGCAGCAACAAACAAATCAGGTAGAACTGCCAATAAAATAGACAATAAAACTAAATCTTTGTGTTTCAGGCTGGTTCAGGGTAAGAGGTCTAACTCACCTGAACCCAGCAGTGTGTCCAAGAAGAGTGACCATTCTATGGATGAAATAGTAAACCTCAGAGAGGATGACTGTTCTACTGAGCTCAGGTAAGGATGATGTGAAACTGAAGAATGTGATTAAAATATGTTCCTGCTGTTTCTCTGAAATCCAGTGGTCTCTATGGAAAAAATGGTTTAAAGCCTTGAAGTTTCTGATGGACAGTTAAACAAACAAGAGCAGCACAGTCATAAAAAATGTTTTACTCCCTTCATAGTTATATAATATGCATAATACAATATGGAAAAAATCAATGGCTGTACTGTACAGCATGGGCCTTTAAATTTAAGTTCATATCAATGTAAACTGCTACTTTGTCTTTGTGAGGACAGTTAATTAATTAATTAATTAATAGTCCCTAATTTTTCTTCTTAGTCATCATTACGTTCATCACATTTATCATTTTGAGATATTTTTGCTGTATTATTTGTAGCAACGTACAAATCAGGTAGAACTGCCATTATAATAGACAATAAAACTAAATCTTTGTTTTTCAGGCTGGCTCAGAGTAAGAGGTCTAACTCACCTGTACCCAGCTGTGTGACCATGAAGAGTGACCATTCTATGGATGAAATAGTAAACCTCAGAGAGGATAGCCATTCTACACAGCTCAGGTAAGGATGATGTGAAGAGTGAGATTAAAAGATGTTCTTACTTTCTCTCCAGTGTTCTCGATGGGAAAATGGTTCAAAGGCGTGATGTTTCCGACAGATGGTTAAGCAAACAAGAGAAGCATAGTCATAAAAGTGAAAGAATTACATCTAAATGCGTTAAACAAAACAGGTGGCATACCACCCAATTTTTAGGTGATCAAAATTATAGTAACAAAAATCAAATAAGTTAAAGTAAGTTAAAGTTAAAGTAATTAACGCTTAAAATTTGGTTGCATATCTCTTGCTTGCAGTAACAGCATCAAGCCAGTGACACACTGAAATCACCAAACTATTGCATTCTTCTTTTATAATGCTCTTCTAGGCTTTTACCTCAGCTTCTTTTAGCTGTTTTGGGGGGTTTCTCTCCTCAGTCTCCTTTTCAGGAGATCAACTGGGTTAAGGTCTGGTGATTGACTTGGCCTAAAACCTTCCACTGCATTCCCCTGTTGAAGTCCATGGTTATGTTGGCAGTGTGTTTTAGTTCATTGTCTTGCTGCATGATGAAGTTCTTCCTGATTAGATTGGATGCTTTTCTCTGTAAATTAGCAAACAAACAGAATGTTTCTGTAGACTTATGAATTCATTCTGCTGTTAACATCATGAGTTACATCATCAATACAGATTATTGAGTCTGTTCCAGAATCAGGCATGCAAGCCCAAGCCATGACGCTACCTCCACCATGCTTGACTAATGAGTTGAATGTTGTTGATCATGAGCAGATCCTTGCTTTCTCTGCACTTTGGCTGCTCCGTCACTTTGGTGGAGGTTAATTTTGGTCTCACCATTCCATAAAACTCTGTTCCAGAACATTTTTGGCTCATCTTTGTATTTTTTTGTGAATTCTGGCTTTCCAGTGTTTTACTGCTGATAAGTGGTTTGCATGTTGTGGTATGGCCTCTATGTTTCTGCTTTTGAAGTCTTTTTCGAATAGTGAATTAGTGAGTACCTTCACCTTTGCCTTGTGGAGGTTGTTGGTGATGTCACTGATTGTTGATTTTGGGTTTTCATTCACAGTTCTCACAATGTTTCTGTCATCAGCTGCTGTTTTTTCATTGGCCAACCTGTCTGATGTCTGGTTGTTAGCACACCAGTGATTTCCTTCTTCTGCAGCACATTTCAGATGGTTGGACTGGCTATGCCTAATGCTTGTTCAAAGAGGCCTTGATGGATTTCCCCCCTTTCCTCAGTTTTAAAATGGCTTGCTTTTCTCAAATGGACAGTTCTCTAGTCTTTATGTTGGTTTATCCTTTTTAACAACAAATGGGGTCTTTACCAGGTGGAATCCAGGGCTCAAACCAATAGCCCTGTATAGATTTTCAGAGCTATTAATTGTTTAAACAAATCAATGTCGCAACAGTATGTTTACTGTTTATTTTTGGTATGCAGAATACAACCATGGACAGTGCTCCTAGCCATACATAATGTTATAGATCAGATCAAAGTTAACAGTGGTAAAAGATAAGTGGTGTGTATATTGTAGTGTAAAATATGGATGAATGAAGGAAAAACATTCAAACACAGTTCACAATAGAATCTAATGATTGAGCATGCACAGAACTACATTTCCCATCTGTCCTGCAGTGATGGTACCACACAGTGACAAGATGTGTGAAAACCAGAAAGATGTGGACTACATCACTGTATTACTCTATCAGACTGTATTCAGTAGTTCAGCATTAACGGCCAATCCAGCGCAATCCAGTACTCCTATCCACTTCTTCTGGGTTCTCCTGTGTCTGTTTTTTTCCATGTCTCATTTGTGTCTAGCAGCTGGATTTTTACGTCCTAAATGTATTTCTATGCCACGCTGTTTGCTCTTGTCCTATTGGATTCTTCAGTGTTTTGTAGATTTTCTGTATATAGCAAGTCTGTCTTTCTGGGTGTGACTGTGTCTTTTGTTTGTTGTTATTCTCTTTGTGTTAGTAAGTTAGCCACTGTTATCTTCCAGGTGGTTTGGAATGTTGTTTGTTATGTTGTCTGTGGGTCAGATCTAACGAACTATGAAATCCAGTTAGTTGTGCATTGTAGTTCACTGCTTTAGTACATTTCCATTTTGCCTTAATCTTGTGTTCTGCTTCCTTCATGTACTACAATATACACAACACTTACCATTACTGTGCCTAAATCTAGATCTGATCTATAACATTGTGTATGGTTATGAACACTAAAAATGATCATGCTCTGCATGCCACAAAGACCAGAGAACGAACAGTTACTGTGTAATTCCTATGCAAAAAGTTACACTTTATTTTACAGTCCTGTTTCCATCAAATTACAGACAAATTACCAGTGTGTACCTGGTAGTAAACTTGGTTAATTTCTGCATATGATGATGATAAGAGAATAGATAGATACTGTGTAATTACTATGAACAAAGTTACACTATTTTACAGTCCTGTTACCACAGTATTAACACAGTATTACAGAGAACTTACAACGTACAAATTAATATAGAATAAATTACTGTACTGGAATGAAGGTACTTACTCTACCTTACTTTGCACTTCCCTGTCATATATGCATGTACTTACTGAAACACTGAGTCACTAAAAGATGAAATATACCTGGTATTTCTTATATTAGTTGCTATAGTAAGTACCACATATTTACCAATAAATTCTGAGTAAGCACTGTTAAACATATCTTATACTTTTTGTATAGTTACTAAGTATGTACCAGAAAATTACTTGTAAGTACTTCATATTTACCAATTAAATTCTGAGTAAATGCAGCTGTAAGTACATAGTAGTTTTTATGTATATTACTATATATGTGCATGGTATGTATCAGATAATTAAAGCTGTGTACCACACATTTACCTATTGAATACTAGTTACATTCAATGCAGTTCTACTTGCCAGTTTTTTAGGTAATGTTTGGCTGTTTTGACTGCTTTGTTCAGTGCATACTGAAAGAGAATTGTGTCCTGTTTACTTTTACTATTCAGTATGTTACTCATCTATCCTTTCTTGGGTATATATACCCATTGATTTTCTGTGATTATTTTACTAGGTATACATACTGTATCTGTTGATTTTCTGAGATTAGCTTATACTCAAGGGTTGACCATTTTAGAATCATGTGTGTTTGAGGATAGCCTGGGAACTTATGGATCCCAGGGCTCTCTCTCTTTGACCAAATGGCAGATATGGTCATAAAAAACAGGCCACACTATGGCCAAAAAGTAATTGTACAAAAAGAACAGCATGTACCATCTTTGATGTCTTTCCAATCTATCTAGTTTGAGCATTTGGAAGACATAAAGAGTACTTCAAGATGATTGGATAGAGCCTCTTGGATGATGAGAGACAGGCTTAAAAAGGGTTAAAGAAGGCCAGCCGGCTAGTAAGGAACAGTTGGATATGCTCAAGGTCAACAGTAGCAGGCCATTATCATGGCAAGCTGAATTTCCCCATTGTGGGTACATACACTCACCATTACCTATTTTGGGATGAGCATTCACACTCATCAGTCAAGTCATAGGCATTTGTCTTTATTGTTTTAACAAAGTGTTCCAACAGATCCGTGTCAGTGTAAAATGAATCTGCCCACAGCTATGCCAATTTGTGTTTGTGTGAAGAGAGTTATTAATAGTCTCTAATTTTTTTTCTTAATCATCATTACAATCAACACATTTATCATTTTGGGATATTTTCCAAAAATATTTGCAGCAACAAACAAATCAGGTAGAACTGCCATTATAATAGACAATAAAACTAAATCTTTGTGTTTCAGGCTGGTTCATGGTAAGAGGTCTAACTCACCTGAACCCAGCTGCATGTCCATGAAGAGTGACCATTCTATGGATGAAATAGTAAACCTCAGAGAGGATGACTGTTCTACTGAGCTCAGGTAAGGATGATGTGAAACTGAAGAATGTGCTTAAAAGATGTTCCTGCTGTTTCTCTGAAATCCAGTGGTCTCTATGGAAAAAATGGTTTAAAGGCGTGAAGTTTCTGATGGACAGTTAAACAAACAAGAGCAGCACAGTCATAAAAAATGTTTTATTCCCTTCATAGTTATATAATATGCATAATACAATATGGAAAAAAAAACAATGGCTGTACTGTACAGCATGGGCCTTTAAATTTAAATTCATATCAATGTGAACTGCTACTTTGTCTTCGTGAGGACAGTTATTAGTCCCTAATTTTTCTTCTTAGTCATCATTACGATCATCACATTTATCATTTTGAGATATTTTTGCTGTATTATTTGTAGCAACGTACAAATCAGGTAGAACTGCCATTATAATAGACAATAAAACTAAATCTTTGTTTTTCAGGCTGGTTCAGGGTAAGAGGTCTAACTCACCTGAACCCAGCTGTGTGTCCATGAAGAGTGACCATTCTATGGATGAAATAGTAAACCTCAGAGAGGATGACTGTTCTACACAGCTCAGGTAAGGATAACATGAAACTGAAGAATGTGATTAAAATATGTTCCTGCTGTTTCTCTGAATTCCAATGGAAAAATGTTTCAAAGGCTTGAAGTTTCTGACAGATAAAAACAAGAGCAGCATATTTTGCTTCATTCATAGTCCTTTATTATGTGTAATACATAACATTACATAGAAAATAACAATACACTATATTGAATATCATGAGAATATGGTAACTCTGCATACTTTGTTTAGTTTTGCACATAAATTGCTGTATGTAGACTATAGGGAATGTGGTTGGGAATGGTATAATAGGTAATAAAACTGGTATATTAATGTTTAATTGAACACCATAAAAGCTTGAGATTAATAATTGAATTGAAATGACAAGCTTTTGAAATATCAACAGAAAATGACAAAATCTGAAAATGGTATCACTATAGTCATTTGTGGATTTAGCTGTAATTCCCTCTTTCACCACATGGGCCTCAGTTTCCCCCCTTCTCCAAAATGTTGCATATAAATCAATGTTAAAGCATCAGTGTTCACATCATTTAATCAACATTCTCACTTTTGACTTTCTAACTTTTGCACTGTAAATTAATATTTAAAACAAAATGCAAAGTTAAACAAAATAAATAAACAAGCAAATATCAGAACATCAATACTACTCCAATAATATTTCAAAGTGATGATTGTTTTTAAAAATCCTGAAACACATCATCAGAACAATCCTGCTATATCTGCAGGATTATTTGCACCATTACCAGTGCAAAATTAGTCCCATAATTAAACTATCACTCATTTATAAACACTGACGATGACTTTTTTTTTTTAGATTTTTTTTTCCTTGCCTGCTCTGAAAAATAAAAGCAAAATGTCAGCAGTGTTATTATACAGTCACTGTACAGAAATCTTAACAGTCTCTCTTTCTCTCTGGTATTTCAAATGCAGACAGTCATATTAAAATACATTTGTTGTAATGTATGATTAGAAGTGCTATTTGGGTTGTCCACGAGAAGCAACCAATAAAATCAATTTTGCATTTGCCAACAGAGCGCAGAATGAGATGTCAGAAACTACCAGAAGAAATGAGGAGCTCATAATCAAGGTGTGTGTGACCAACAAAGTACAAATACACTGTAAAAAAGATTTGGTGTGTTAAGAAACTAAGCAACATGGCATACGTTTTTGGATAGCACTTTATATTATTGTACATTGTGCAACTAGTATTTAATAGGTAATTATGTGATGCTACAGCTATCAGCTACATTTCATAAAATTGTAGCAGCTACAGCTATCAGCTACAAAAATTTGTAGTTAGCTACAAAAAGTAGCGCGCTACTTAGCTACTCCCCCATCCCTGCATATCGAGATCTTGAAAACAAGTTGCACCTAGTCTGGAGTGTCTGTGAGCTGAAATTGCAATAATTTTGATGGCGATTCATTCTATTGGTTATTATAAGTAAAAATAAACAATAAGCATAAGGCGGACGTTTCTTTATTGATTTTCTGTCCTCTTGGATTCATGCTTAGTGCTAAAACTCTGATACACAGCAAGACTGGCTTTATTTTTAATTCCAAATTGAGTTGCATATTTAATATCAGATATTTTTAATACTCAAAATCAATGTGAACTGAAAGCCCCTTATTCTGTCCTTATTGTGTGTAACTTAACACAACTTGACAGATAGCTAAACAGCTGGGATTGAATAAAGAGCTGGACCAAAGGTGTTTCAGGGTCTTCAGTGTTTACTTTATCCAGATTCCCAAATCTTTTTTTGTGAAACTGCAAACAAACATTACATATCTTCAGTTTTGGAAGACATCAGTATGCTTACAAAATAGACCACTGAGATATTTGTAAAGCAACATGCTTTGTATCCACACAGTATGTGATATAGAAAGGCATCTAACATTACTAACACTTTTACTCACAAACAGTGATGTCTAAGGCTCAAAACGTGAGGATGGACAGAGATGAAATTACACCTGCTTCATCATCACACACAGCTCGAATCCAAGAGGGCTGCACTAACCTCTAACCCTCATCATGTGGCTTAACTAGCAAATCAGAATTAAGGAACACTTTTGCCTAACCTTAGCAGCACCATCTAGTGGCCGTAAAATAGAATAGTCAATGTATAAAAGAACAGTCACAACATCCTTTGTTTATAATATGAAGGCTAAAAGCAGAGATGTAATATAACAGTAGTGACTGGGGTTTGGGTGATTTTGGAGCTGGATTTCTGGCTGTTGGATGGTCACAGGTGGATGAAATCACTCTGGATTGTAAGGGCAGAGTCTGATGAGTGATGTGTAAATCATGTTGCTGTTTTAACCCTTTGTTGGAATATGAAGGGCAAAATGCAAGGCAATAAAATTAGAATTTTGGGTGATTTTCCAAGCCGCATTACTCGCTGATTCTGACATCACAGCTCAGTGATGTCACACTAACTAGTTAGGGTCTGCTGTGTATCATGTCTGTAGGTTAAACCGTTTTGAAGTTATGAAGACTAGAAGTGCCCTACCGTTTTGCCCGCAAATTGCCCAAGGGTTATACTTTTTAAAAACCTTAAAATAATATATAAAAATATTATATATTAAAAATATAATATTATTATGTTACTTAGAGATTGCATGATCCTTAAATTGTCTTCTCACTGTGTTTCACTTTATCAGTCTTTCAGTCCTCTAGCCCTTCATCAATGGTCAGTTTCTGACAAAAGAACCACTGTTAGCTGTGTTGCTTTGACTTACTGTTCTGAATTTGTTTAATATATAAAATGACCTTGAGTCCTTTAAAATGGAGTGTCAGCTGATTGTCTAATGCAAGGCTGCCAATTAATACTACAGTAAAATTTCAAAATTTTTAGCATGTGCATAATGTGACATTCTGGATTGATATGTTAAGTTAGCTGATACTTCTCAATTATTAAGTACAACAGTCCAATACAGTTAAGTCCGTCACTCCAGTCCATATCTCCCAGAGTTTGGCATGTAGCGTCTCTGTATATGATATCTTAGCTGTGGGAGAGATAAGTGCTGTAGTTCTGTGCATGTTTGCTCATTAGATTCTGTACTGAACTCTGAACTCTGTGTGAATCATTTCTGAACTCTTTGCTTTTACCTTTTTGGATTTAGTAGCTTGAGTGTTTGATATATTCTGTTATATTGCATTGATATTCCCTATATTTAAAATCTTGTTTCACTGGTTAGCTTACATTAGTATTGTAGTATTCTGCTGCTGGCTGGCACTGGCGCCTGAGACTCTGGAGGCATTGTTATGCAGATAACTACATGCAAAGGTTCATGGTATGTGCACCCTCCTGCAACGGGACTGTTTATAGTGTTTGATGTTATTAGGTGTTGGTTTAGGTTATGTATACACGTTAGGTTATTTAAAATTGGGGGTTGTGGGTTTTGTGTTTTGGGGGGTCACCACTGGGGCAAGTTGTGTTGCTAATGCTAACACAGCATATAGCTTCATGTGCTAATAACTCGTATCAGAAGTAGCCCCTGACTCTGTACAAATTGCCCCAATAAAAAAGAAACCTTCGTCAGAAGGAGCCTCTGCACAGCTCAGAGACTGCTTTGAAAGGACAAACTGGGATGTTTTTGTGTGTGAGGATTTGGAGGAGTACACTTCAACCGTACTTTGTTATATTAAAAATTGTGTTGACCATGCCACTGTTGACAAACATAGCAGGGTGCACTCAAACCAGAAACCCTGGATGACAAAGGAGGTCAGTACACTCCTGAAGGCTCGAAATTCTGCCTTTAGGTCCAAGGACAAAGCCCTCTACAGCGATGCTAGAGTCGATCTAAAGAAAGCCATCAATGGTGCGAAAGCAGACTACAAAAGGAACATTGAGGACCACTTCATGCAAAATGACCTGAGGAGACTAGGGCAGGGTATTCAACACCTCACAAATTAAAAAGCCAACAATTACTTAATTGCTGATCCCACACTGGCAGAGGAACTCAAATGCGTCTTTGCACACTTTGAAGTGTTAATAGCAGAAGCATCAGAGATAGCATCACCACCTTCATCCCGCTCCAGTAGCCACAAGCTCGTGTTGTAGGAGCATGAAGTGCGGCGAGTACTCAGAACCGTCAATCCAGGGAAAGCAGCAGGAGCAGACGGTGTAACAGGTACTGAGAGAGTGTGCAGCTTGCGGTGGTTTTCTAAAGGATCTTCAATCTGTCCCTGTCTAGAGCCATCATCCCACCCTGAAATCCACTACAATAATTCCACTGCCAAAGAAAGCAAAGGCCTGAACGACTACTGTCCAGTTGCACTAACCCCGGTCATCAGGAAGTGCTTTGAGAAGCTGGTCAAGCAGCACATCAAGGCCAACCTCCCAGCCACCTTTAACCCACACCAGTTTGCATACAGCTCAACAGAAAATGCCATTACCACAGCCTTACACATTGTGCTTTCACACTTTGAACAATAAGGCAGCTACATGAGGATGCTCTTCATAGATTACAGCTCTGCATTTAATACAGTCATACCTGACAGACTGGTCACCAAACTAACTGACAGACTGGTCACCAAACTAACTCACAACCTATCTGCCACTGGATCAAACATTTCCTGACTAATCGCCCCCAGAATGTTAGACTAGGTTAGACTAGGACATTTCCTGGACCACAAATACTACAGCAGCAGTGAAAAAGGCAAAGCAGCAGCTATACTTTCTAAGGACTCTTAGGAATAACAACCTGGATAAGCAGCTGCTGGTTTCCTTCTACCACTTCACTGTTAAGAGTGTGCTGACATACGGCATCTCGACTTGGTATAGCAGGAGCAGCTCAGCAGCAGGCAAGAAATCACTGCAGAGGGTCATCAACATGGCCCAGAAAATCATCACATGCCCACTGACCTCAGTACAAGATCTGTACACTGCCCGCTGCCTTAGTAGATCATCAAAGACTCATCCCACCCTGAACATCAGCTGTTTGAACTGCTGCTTTCTGGTAGATGTTTCAGGTCTGTCACTTCACGTATAAACAGGCAGAAGAACAGTGCCATACGTGAGCTGAACACTGCAAGCTCACACACTCCAAACTGATTTAGACTCAATGGACAGATACTTGTCAGGACTTGTTTACACTACTCTGCACTCCATCTCGCACAACTTACTGTATGTTTACATCCTACCACACTTATAACATTAGCTTCACAATTGCAAATATGTACATACATATGCTGCATATTTTAAAACTGTATACTAGTTAACATCTTATAGCACTTTATAACAAATTCTATATCATACTACTGTGATTTACCACACATGTTCAATACTTCAATACTTTTACCTGTTACTGTGCAATAACCTACTGTGCAATAAACATTTCATTTGAGATTATTTATTTTTTTGGTTATTTCTTAGTATAATTTTTCTATTATGTGTGGAGGCACAAACTGGACTGCTTTTTAATTTCACTATACCTTGTGTAGTGACAAAAGGAATCTTGATTCTTGAAACATGTCATAAAAATGACCTTGCCTTCCATTATAAATATTATTATATAAATAATATACTGTTTATTTAATGTTTTTTGCTAAACAAAAAGTACTATTGCAGTGACAAACAGGTTTTTATGTCCATAACCATTTATTGTTTATGCAAAAGCTGGAGCACAAAGTCATCTCTCTGGTAAAGAATCAGCTGAAGAGGTTTGTGAAACTTCTGAACCTGGATTACCCAGCATGCTCTGAGAGAGAGGTGGAGGATGAGGAGAATCAGAGTGTCAGAGAGGGAGCGCTGAAGATCACACTGCACGTCCTGAGGACCATGAACCAGACAGACCTCGCCAACACACTACAGACCAGTAAGAGATCATGTGATTATTCATTATGTACATAAATTTAAAGACTTCAAATTATGATGATGATATATTGTTATTAATACTCACCACAGTTCAACAAGTATTATGGATAAGTTAGTGACCATTCTTTAATGATGACGTTATGTCATTTTGTGTTTGTAGTAATGCTAAAACTAAATATTAATATGTAATTTATTACATTTATTGATATTCCTTTCTCATTTCATTAGAACTGGCTCCTTCTTGTCATCAAAAACTCAAATCCATATTAAAGGAAAAATGTCAGGAAATTAATGAAGGAATCTCGAATCCTGGAACCTCAACACTTCTGAATGAGATCTACACAGAGCTGTATGTCACAGAGGCTGGGAGTGGAGAGGTCAACAATGAACATGAGGTCAGACAGATTGAAACAGCATCCAGGAGACCAGCAACACAGGAGACGCCCATCAAATGCAACGACATTTTTAAAGACAAACCCATCAGAACTGTGCTGACTAAAGGAGTCGCTGGAATTGGAAAAACAGTCTCTGTGCAGAAGTTCATTCTGGACTGGGCTGAAGAAAAAGCCAATCAGGATGTTCTCTTCATATTTCCACTTCCTTTTAGAGAGCTCAATTTGATGAAGAAGAAACTTAGTCTGTTGGATCTTCTTTATCGTTTTTTTACAGACATAAAAGAATTAAAACCTAGAGACATTTATGACTATAAAGTCATGTTCATCTTTGATGGTCTGGATGAATGTCGACTTCCTCTAGATTTTCAGAGCAATGAGAGCGTATTTGATGTTAGACAGTCAGCCTCAGTGGATGTGCTGCTGACAAACCTCATCAAGGGGAATCTGCTTCCCTCTGCTCATCTATGGATAACTACTCGACCAGCAGCAGCCAATCAGATCCCTTCTGACTGTATTAACCAGATAACAGAGGTACGAGGGTTCAGTGACCCTCAGAAAGAGGAATACTTCAGGAAAAGGATCAGTGATCAGAGCCTTGCTGAAAGAATCATTGCACACATGAAGTCCTCAAGAAGCCTCTACATCATGTGCCACATCCCAGTCTTCTGCTGGATTGCAGCCACTGTTCTAGAGAGGATGTTGGGTGAAGCAGAGAGTGGAGAGATCCCCAAGACTCTGACTCAAATGTTCACACACTTCCTGATCTTTCAGATCAAACACAGCAGCCAGAAGTACCAAAGAAAAAGTGACATTGATCATAAACAGACTAGAAAGATTATTCTGGCACTGGGAAAACTGGCTTTCCAACAGCTGGAAAAAGGAAACCTGATCTTCTATGAGGTAGACCTGACAGAGTGTGGCATTGATGTCAGAGAAGTGTCAGTGTACTCAGGAGTGTGTACTCAGATCTTCAGAGAGGAGTTTGGGCTGAACCTGGGGAAGGTTTTCAGCTTTGTGCATCTGAGCGTTCAGGAGTTTCTGGCTGCTTTATATGCATTTCTTTCCTTCATCTCCAACAACACAAATGTGCTGCTACAGCAAACCACTGGATATACTGGTTTTGAGGAAAAGACAACAATGTCAGACTTCCTCAAGACTGCAGTGGACAAGGCCTTACAGAGTGAGAACGGGCACCTGGACCTTTTCCTCCGCTTCCTTCTGGGCCTCTCACTGGAGTCCAATCAGACTCTTTTACGAGGCCTAATGACACAGACAGGATACAGCTCTCAGAGCAGAGAGGGAAATAGTCGAGTACATCAAGGAGAAGATCAGGGAGAATCCCTCTCCAGAGAAAACAATCAGTCTGTTCCACTGTCTGAATGAACTGAATGATCATTCTCTAGTGCAGGAAGTTCAAAGATACCTGAAGAGAGGAGGTTCCAGTGGTCTCAGTGGAGCTAAGCTCTCTCCTGCTCAGTGGTCAGCTGTGGCATTTGTGATGCTGAATTCAGAAGAGGAGCTGGATGAGTTTGACCTGAATAAATTTGACCGATCAGAGGAATGTCTTCTGAGGCTGCTGCCAGTGGCCAAAGCATCCAGAAAGGTTGTGTAAGTATTTTCATCCCTACATTTTTCTGCGCTGTTATATACTAATTCATTGATAGTTTCCCACTCATTAAATTGTATACAGTTACTATGTATCTTTGTAGTATGGTTAGTTTTTTTTTTTTTAAGTGCACCATAGAATGAAACGTGCACATTAGAATGAAATGTGACTAGTTAATTTTTTTATAGATTAACTTTTTTATAGATAACTGTTATTTAGCTTACCAGAGGTTCAATCACAAACAGACAGTATCATAGAAGAATAAAAATCAATTCTAAAACCAGAAACAGGCAGAAGCCATGGCAAATCTGTTTGTTGATTGATCCCGTTTTCCGTCCTATTTGTTACATAAGGGAATTCTGTTCCATTCATGTAATGTAAGTTTCTGCATCGTGAACATATCCTTCTCTATTTTGAGGTGTGTGTGTGTGTGTGTGTGTGTGAGAGAGAGCGATCTGTTACAACAAATTATTTTTGTTGTAACAGAACCCAAACCTGAAGTACTCAAGTACTGCACATTTATTAGCCTCTATGAAAACAAAAAGATACTTGATTCTCCACTTACTAGTATAGTAAATGAAACATAGCACATGGTAGAACAGGCTGTGAGAGTAGAAAAACAGACTTTGGGAGTGGAGGTACAGGCTGTGTGACACAAACACATGTATGCAGCTGCAAGATAAGGTAATTGAACACTTTAGAATTACCTGAATTTCTGCATTTATCTGCACTGACTAGTAAAATGTAGTTTGATTATTATATGCCACAATTATAGACAAACACAATCTAACTGAATTAATAACACACAAACAAATGTACTTTTCATGCCTTTCATTGAAAACATTGAGTAAACATCAACAGTGCAGGCTAAAACAAGTAACTGAACCTCTGTGTTAATGACTTCTCCAAGAGCTAATTGGCCAATATTGTTTCAATTAAGGATATCAGATTGGAAGTGTGCATTTTACAGGTGCCTTGCCCATTAAATAAAGGCAGCACACAAAGCCTGGTTACAGACAAATCTGTTTTTCTCAAGAAAGGTTAGTGTCAACCATCCCTCAATGCAGACAACTTTCAGAAGACCTTAGAAGATGTGTTAGAGATGCATGAAGCTGGAAAAGGCTACAAAAGCTTTGCTGAAGACTGGGTATACATCAATCCACTGTTAGACAAACTGTCTACAAAATACTGTTGCTACTCTCCCTAGGAGTGGGTGTCCTGTTAAGATCACTCCAAGAGCACACTGAGCAGTCCTGAAAGAGGTGAGAAAGTAACCAAGGGTAACAGCAAAAGACCTACAGAAGCAATAAACCTGCGATCAGAAGGAACAATTAATAATGTATCAAAGAATGTATCAAAGATTTTACAGGGGAATGTTAGGGTGGCAGCCCATGACCTCAAACTGAAGAGATGTTGGGTGATGCAACAAGGCAGTGACCCAAAGCACACAAGTAAATCAACTAAAGTATTGTTGAAAAAAAAAAAAGATTTGTGTTTTGGAATGGCCAAGTCAGAGTCCTGACCTTAACCCTATCAAGATGCTGCATGATCTGAAGAGGGCTGTGCAAGCAAGGCATCCCAGAAACATTGAAGAACTAAAACACATTTGCAGTAGAAAATGGTCCAAAATGTCTCCTCAATGTTGTGCAAATTTTATGTGCAGCTACTGGAATTCTGGAGGTGATTGCTACTAAAGGAGGATTTACAGCCTAATAAATCCAAGGGTTCACTTACATTGTCTAATGTGCACTGTAGATGTTTAGTCAATGTGCTCAAAAAAGGCTCAGTGGAAAGTACTCTTTTTGTTCATCTGTGTTTGTGATTTTGACTTAGATAATGGTCAGACCACATTTTATTAGTAATCAGTGCAGAAACCTAGGTATGTCTCTACAAGGATTCACTTTATCTTGTGTGTGAGAGAGAGAGGGTGAGAGGGATTGAGAGAGAGAGAGACAGAGAAAGAAAATGTATATTAAAGTGTACATGAGTGGGAAACAGAGAATGTACATGAGAGAAAAAGAGAGAGAAAGAGAGAGAGAGAGAATGTTTGTGTGTGTGTTGTGAGTGTGTGTGAGATCCCCTGATATTCTATATTGTTATTCTTCTGTGTTTAAGATGATGCATATGAACATTATTAAAGATGTAAATTTGTCCTCTTCTCTCTACAGGCTGCATAACTACAGTATTACAGAGGAAGGCTGTGCTGCTCTGGTTTCAGCTCTGAAATCAAACCCCTCACAGCTGAGAGAGCTAAATCTGAGCTACAATAAAGCAGGATTGAAGCTGCTCTCTGATCTACTGGAGGATCCACACTGTAAACTGGAGAGACTACAGTGAGTTACTGAATTACTGTCTCTGTATAAACACACAAAAACTAACAGAAGATGTCATTACAATGACATAAAAAATATATATATATACTGCTGGTGGGCCCAAAGTTTTATTACACACTTCTATAACCTAAGAATAGCTTAATTTGTTTGCTTTGGTGTCCCTGTAGTTGCTGAGTAATAATCCTTGGTATGTAATACACCTGGGATTTTAAGGGATTTAGAATATTCCTAGCGATTATTGAACATAATAGATAAGATGCTGGATACCATGTACACTGACACATAACAGTCATGAAGAAACTGTCACGTCCTAGAACATGGCAGGGGACCCACACAGTCTACTACTAAGTGCTCGAAAGAGATAGAGACAACCAGAATTGGTTGTAGTGGAGCAGCAGGTACTTTCTGGTTTGACCTCCTGGTAACTTGACACATCTTTCTTTAAACCAGGCCAAAAGAATTGATGCACTCTGCGATCATATCTCTTTTGGAATCCAGCATGGCCTGCCAAACCATTATAACTACTTCCAACACAACCTTCCCAAACTTAAAAACTTAAAAGGAACCACGAGCTGAACAGCCTTGGTGTATAAAGAACCTCTCTTAAAAACCCAATTTTTGTACAATAAAACTTCTCTCTCAAAAAAAAAGGATATTGTCAGCTAACTGTTCACAGACCATGTCATTATGAGAAACATTTAGCAATGATGAAAAGGTGTCAGTCCGCTTGTCTTTAAACTCAGAGTGATCCTCCATTATTACTGCTTCAGGGTCTCCAAGAGTATTTATTACTTCAGCCTTTTTAGCTTTCATGCTACCAAATGAAATATCCCCAGCAGCAAAATCATTAATGCACCCAGGTTCAGTAAAACAGGACAGATATCCCAACCTTCATCTCTATGTATGTGTAAGAGAAATGTCTGCTGCCTCAACGTCTGTCACCTTTTGTTGTTGCACAAATGAAATTGGGAAATTTCTGACCACATTCATCTAAATAGTCAGAAGCCGGGGGACTGAAGTCATAACAGACAAGGCCTCAGTGTTTGGGGGAAGCATCAAACATCCCTCACACGCTACCCCCTGCTAAGTCATCTCCTAAAATAAAAGTGACACCAGGTATAGGAAGGGATGAGGCATAAAATCCATATCAGTAATTTAGAGGAAAAATGAACTCAACGTAAGCATACTTCAATAAAACTCATCTCAGTATCTCCAATGAGCACTCATGTACCAGTAGCTCTGAGCAAAACACCCTCTAGCAAAAATGATTGGCCAGCCCCAGTATCTCTCAAAATGCATAGTCATCTCACTACCAAGAAGAGACACAAATCCATCTGTAATTAATGGGGCATAATTTTTTAGCTATCATTACAGTTCCTCCCTGGAAATGAAACAGCAAGGCCTTCAGAGGCTTCATCACTAGCTAAGGACTGACAAGACCCATCTAACCCTACAGGTTTTACTTATTTACCCCTCTTATTAAGGGTAGGACAGTCAGAAACCTTGTGCCCTTGCTTTTTCAATAAAAATTTCTGACTGGGAATTCTATGGTTTACAGGTAAGGCACCTGACTCTGCACTACTCTCATCTGCACTTGCCTTTCTGCTATTCCTCTAAACACTTTCCATTTTCCTCCCCCCCCCCATTTCTTGTAAATTTTTTATTGGTGTATGTATTGGTGTAACGGTGGAAGACAGGACCAGGCATTCACAGATCAGGCTAGAGTTAAGAGCTTTAGTGCCAAAAGGATGATTCAAAACCACAGTAATTAAAACAAAAACAGACAGTAAGAAACCAAAAGAAGAACCAAAACTGAGCAAAGGGACAAGATAAGAAGCAAGGTCATTAACAGAAAACAGGACAGACACATGAATAGGTTAACAGATGTGAAGGAACGCTTGGTATGATAGGTGATAGGTGGATCTGGATGAGTCCTGAGACATGTGATGGGACAAGGGGTTCTGGGAATTGTAGTCCGAGGCGGCCAAGTTTGCTGTAGTTTCAGCTGGGCGGGGGGAAGCATGACAGTACCCCCTCCAAAAGGAGTCCGGGATGGCTGAGGAATGAGGGCACCCACAATAACCACTTCCTACCCGACCAGAGGCATCAGTAGGCATTACCCTGAGCTATCCTGGTGCTGGACAAGAGAGAGGCTACTGGATCACATATTGGGTCAGACCAGGCAAGAACTGGAGATGGTTTTCCCAGGAGCTGGTTTCTTGGGATGCCTGGTATGAAAATCCACCACCAACCCAGGGTCCAGGACATCTTTAGCTGGAACCCAGCTTATCTCCTCTAGGCCGTATGCCTCCCAGTCAATCAGATACTGGAGGATCCCGCCACATCACCGATAGTCCAGCATCTGATGGACAATGCACCATCCACCTCCAGTGGTTCCAGCAGAGCCCTGTCAGATGACACCTCATCCAGAGTCCCTGGCACCACAGACTTAAGGAGGGACACATGAAATGAGGGTGAAATACAGATCTGAGCCCCTTTGCGGCTTCTCTGCCTCTTTGTTTACCAACATGCAAACGCCGGCGGAGCAGGAGGAAGCGCAAGAGGGGTAGACGCACTGGGATATTATTCAGGACAAGTAAAAGGTTCTTCAGCCCTCTGCTTCCAAGTATTTTGCTTGCAAATGTTCAATTGCTGGAGAACAAAATTGACAAACTGAACTCATGGATCAACTTTCAGCGTGACATTGAGAGCTGCTGCGTTGTAGTGCTCACAGAGACATGGCTATCCATGGCAATACCAAACAAAGGCATCACACCAACCGGCTTCTCCATCTCCCATCAGGACAGAACTCTGAACTCTGGTAAGGGCAGAGGCAGTGGGGTATGTGTTATGGTGAACTCTCGATGGGGAACAGATGTAGCGGTTCTAGCCAGTCACTGCTCTCCAGACATTGAACTCACAACAGTCAAAGTTTGGCTCTTTTTTTCCCAGGGACTTTAGCTCAGTCATTCTCACCACAGTCTACATCCCACCTCAGGCAGATAAGTCACGTGCATTGGAACTTTTGTACAAGACCATTAATGTACTTGAGAACATTCACCCTGAGGCTGTTTTTATTGTGATTTTAACAGGACAAACTTGAAGAAGGTTCTGCCCAAATACTACCAGCACATTAAATTTCCCACCGGAGGATAACAGACTCTTGACTCTTGCACTCAAGGACAGTTACAAACCACTCCCCCGTCCTGCCTTCGGCAAAGCTGATCACACCTCAATTCTTCTCCTACCCGCATACAAACAAAGACTTTAACAGGCGAAACCAGTTCTCAGATCAGTCTATCAATGGAGAGGGGAGGCCATCTTCACACTTCAGGACTGCTTTGAATCCACAGACTGGAAGATGTTCCGTGTTGCAGCTGGCACAGACATCAATGAATACACTGACAAGCTACATCAATAAATGCACTGAAGACATTCTACCAAAAATCAACATCAGAACATTTCCCAACCAGAAACCCTGGTTGAATGCTGAGGTTCGAGCCAAACTAAGAGCTTGGGCTGCTACCTACAACTCTGGTGACTTGGCTAGCTACAAGAAGGCCAGATATGACCTTCAGAGGACCATCAGGCTGGCCAAAAGGAGGTACAGGGACAGAGTGGAATCTATCTTGGCTCTGATCTCAGACATATGTGGAGTGGACTGCGTACTATCACTGACTACAAAGAAGGTGTGATCTGTGATAGGGGCTCTTCCTCCTCACTTGCAGTTGAGCTTAATGCTCATTATGCTCGTTTTGAAGCAACTAACACCTCACCTGCTGAGAAACTCCCAGTAGATGAAGAGAGCTGCACTCTAGCCATTCCCCTGTCTGAGGTGGTGAGATCCTTCAGGCTATCACCTGCCTGAATGACTACCACCCTGTTGCACTGACATCAACACTTATGAAGTGCTTCGAGCAGCTGGTCAAAGCTCACATCTGCTCAACACTTCCAGCCACCATGGACCCTCACCAATTTGCATACCGCTCCAACAGATCCACAGATGACGCCATTGCACTAACAATACACACTGCCCTCACAAACCTGGACAGAAAGAACACATATGTAAGAATGCTGTTCATAGATTACAGCTAAGCTCACAGACTTGGGTTTGAACTCTCATCTCTGCAACTGTATACTGGACTTCCTGATGAGCAGACCCCAGGTGCTGAAAGTTGGGAACAGCTTTTCCTCCACACTGACTCTGAGCACAGGGGCTCCCCAGGGATGTGTACTCAGCCCCCTCTTGTACTCCCTTTATACACCTGACTATGTAGCCAAATACACATCTAACATCATCTTCAAGTTTGCTGATGACACTACCATCCTAGGCCTCATCACTGATGGAGATGAAACAGCCTACAGAGATGAGGATAGTGCTCTGTCAGAGTGGTGCCATGGCAGCAATCTCTGTCTTAACATCAGCAAAACAAAGGAGATGACCGTGGACTACAGGAAGCTGCAGAAGGGTGGTCATTCTCCCCAGTCATCAATGGAGCCGAAGTGGAGAGAGTCAGCAGTGTGAAGTTTCTTGGTGTATACCTCACTGATGCCCTAACCTGGTCCCTTCACACCAACACTATTGTGAGATCTGTCTGTCAGCACCTCTTCTTCCTGTGCATGCTGAGGAAGTTTGGTCTGCCTTCTCAGACCCTCACCAACTTCTACAGATGCACCATAGAGAGCATCCTCATGGGCTGCATCACTGTCTGGTACAGCGGCTGCACAACCTGTGACCGTAAGGCCCTTAAAAGGAGTGATGAGGATGGCAGAAGGCATCATAGGCAACAAACTACCAGCCTTACAGGACAGGTATCAGTCCCGCTGCCTCAGGAAAATCAAAAAGATCCGGTCAGACAGCAGCCACCCAGCGCACAGCCTGTTCACCATTCTGCCATCAGGCAGGAGATTTCGCAGCATACAGGCTAGAACAACCTGGTTAATGAACAGTTTCTACCCACAGGCTGTCAGGCTTCTGAACAAGCTGTGAAGCTGTGGGTCCTTCCCCAATTACAATTTCACTCAGTTACTTTGTCAGTATTATTATTGTATCATATTACTGCTATAAATACTAACACTAAGTCACTTTAAATAACAATAACACTGAGTCACTTAAGTTACTTTAAAATGTATATATTCTTCAAAGATTATTCCTTGTTTAATATAAATGTTTGTACATAGCAGACTTGTACATGCTTTGTTTACTTTCTGTAGAGTGATTACCTGAGCCTCACCACAAGCATTTCAGTGCATGAATGTCCTAACATGTTGTGCAAATGACAAATAAACCTGAAACTTGAAACTTGAAACATAAACATCTGCAAAGCACCCATGAATTTACATAGCAACTTACAACTGCCCTCCCCAAACCTGAGGTCCTGAGTGGACAACCAAACCCGGTCACCTGGCTGAAAGGAGGGTGTCTCCCCACAGTGCCTGTCGGTTTTCTCCTTAGTGCACTGAAGGGCCGCCTCAATGCTGCAGTGAGTCTATTCCCAGACCTCCTTGCTGCACCTCATCCAATCGTCGACAGCCGGATGTCAGAAGGAATAGCAGTCCGTGGTGGGGGCTGATCGCCTAAGATGCACTGAAAAGGAGTTATAGGAGTGGCAGGACAAGCCATGGCGTTTTGTGCAGTTTCAGCCCAAATCAAAAAGTGGGACCAATCTGCAGGGTTATTGTGACAAAATGCTTTAAGAAATTTTCCTAACTCTTAAGCACTTTGAATGAAAGCAGTGTTTTAAAAGGCGCTATATAAATAAACTCGCCTTGCTTTGTCTTGATTAACCTGTTCACATTGGGAACTGGAGGTGAGACTGATGTTAATACTAATGTGTTCACAAAATCCTGCCCACACTCTAGAAGTGAATTGAGAACCTTTAGCAGACACTATATCTTCAGGTATACCAAAATTATGGAAATTGTGGTTGTACAGTGCTAAGGCAGTGTCAAAAGCATATTTTCTTTAAAAAGGAATGAACATAATGCCTCTTGAAAAATGGTCTACTATAGTCTTAATAGTAGTAAAACTGTCAGATGGAGGTAAGTTAGTAGCAAAATCAACTGCAGTATGTGACCATGGATGTTCTGGCACAGGGAGAGGCATTAGTTTATCGTCTGGGAGAGTGTTAGGTATTTTGCTTTGAGCACATACAGAACATGATGAGACAAACTTGTCTACATTCTGTTTGTGTTTCCCAACAGTAGTGTTTTGTCAGAAGTTCTTGTGTGTTGAATTCCCCAGAATGACCAGAGGTGAGAAAAGAAGTGAGCCCAAGTAACAAGATGGTCACAAAATTGAACTGGAACATACAGCTTATTTTGCAGACAGCTGTCTGGGATGTTGCAGTTTTCTATGGCTCTAGTGATTTCTTCATCAATTTCCCAGCGAATGCTATGTGGACAGAGGGAGGAAGAATAGACTCGGGCTCAGACTGATGGACTGTTGCTAGACTCCACTCTGACTTTTTAGATGCTCTCTTAGGTAGAGCAGTGAGAGGACCGGCAAGAGCACTAAAGTTTCTAATAATGTTTGAAATTAGCAAAAAATAAGAACCTTTGAAGGTCCTTAATGAATGTCACAGTGGGCCAGTTGAAGATGGCTTTGAAATTTGCATTTTTCTCCTTTAACATGCAAATCATTGTCTAACAGACATTGACAAACCTGATAGGAGTGTTGTAATTAGATGAGTAAATCAATATGTCATCTATGTATGTAATTTGTCATCCAATCATGTCTTGAAGGACATCATTTATAAATGACTGAAACACTGGTGGAGCATTGGACAGACCGAATGACATACCTATGTAGGCATAGTGCCCCCTAGTGTTTTCCACTCATTACCTTCCTCAATACAGACTAAGTTGTGGCACTATGAAGTTCTAATTTGGTGAAAAAAAAGCCACAAAGTTGTTCCAAGGCAATGGGGATCAATGGTAAAGGGTATATACATTTTTCTGTTATTGTTACTGAGAGCACATTAATCAATGCAAGGCCTAAGACTGCCATCCTTCTTTTTCACAAAGAAAAATCCAGATAGAGCAGTCATATGTGTGATGAGGAGGCAATTTAGTGGGATTATTTTTACTAAATACCTTTATCAAGTCAAAGTAGTCAGGGGGGAATTTCAGTATTGTGTGTGGGTTATGGGTTTCTATGGAAGTAGATCATACTCTCTGCAGAAGTGAGGCAATTTGAAAAACAAAAATCTGACCATACTGTGATCTCCTGATTGGACCATGAGATTTGAGGATTGTGTTTCTGCAACCAAAGGAGTCCTAAAATAACAGAGAATTCTGAAGAGTCAATGACTAGAAATGAAAGTTGCTCTTTGTGAAGAAAGCTGGCCTCTAATTGAATTGGTTCAGTGACGGAAGTGATGGGATCCAGTACAACGGGTCCTCCATCCAGCATGACTACTTTAAGGAGAGGTTGCACTAGGATGTGTAGTTGAGCCACCACATCAGAATGTAGGAAATTTCCCTTCAGCTCCTCAGTCAATTAAAGCTGAAACAACAAGAGATGATTGTCAGTAGCAAACAGTAACAAGATTTTGAAACCAACCCCTTTGTGGGAACACTCATCACATTGAACAGGTAAAAGTGATTAAAAGTCCGGAGAAGCTGAATGTTGATAACTGGATCTGGATGAGTCCTGAGACATATGATGGAGCAAGGGTTTCTGGAAATTATAGTCCAAGTTTGCCAAGTTGGCTGTAATTTCAGGTGGTCCAGAGGGAGGCATGACAATCGGTTCAGACCGCAGCCTCAACTAGGTCACAACCCTTCTGTTGGTTTAGACAACTACATTTTCAGAAATACAATTGACAAAGTTGTTCCCTGCTTTCAGTCTTTTGAGATGCACTTCACCTATCAAGTAATCCCTTTTCCTATTCTATAAAAGTTTGGTGTTCTGAAACATTGCTGATATGCTTCAGGTACTAATTCATGTGCATGCAAAATTGCTTTCTTTACTGTATTGCATTTTGAACTCTGCTCCACAGTGAGTTAAATATAAGCACACGCTACAAAATCAAAGGCCAACCCTCCCTCGGCCACCTTAACACAGTAGTAACACGCTCAAATTGAAAAAAAAGTATTTTCCAACATTTTTCAACAAATGAAGGAACCATTTTTATATATTTACTGAGGTCACACACTGGTTCTATTTGTGTTGCAGATCCTAGCATAGCTTATTCTATTTGTGGTGCCACCACAGATGTTCCTATAGAACAAGGTGACTCTCACTACTTCCCATTTTACTGCCAATTCTAAGTCTAATTTATCTAATTCAAAATCTCTTTCTTCCCGTTCGCGACTATGTTGCATTTGCATTTCTAACTTCTTCAATGCTAGCTGATGCTGTAACTTTAACTCAAAATCATGTTCTACTTCTTTTCTTTAAGAACTCGAGCCTCATGCTAACATCTGTGCTTAGCTGCTTTTATCTGCAACTGGTTTTCCCTCAAAGCCAGCTGTTTTAGTTTTAGTTCATGGTCTTGACTCCTAACAAATGTAAGTGAAACTTCAATATAGAGTTTCACTAATTTTTTCACTAAAGCCCGTCAACAGAATCCTTTACAGTAAAAGCCATGTCTACTTTGGAGATGAATGTCACTCACTGTAACTCTCTCATTGGAACTGATTTCCCAAACATACAATGTTTGTTTAAAATGTACTAAGCCACACATTTTCTAAGTCACACACGTCATTGCTATCCTAAAACTAAACATAATTTTGAACTGCTCATGTTGGCAAAAGCTGCTGCTACTGCTGCAAAGTGCAGTCTGCACTATTGCTGCTAATGCAGGCCATGCTACCTTTGCTACTGCTACAAACATGCTGCCCTCCTGCTTTATCTACCACTCCCTACTCTCCCAAAAGAAAGAAACAACCATAAATCCTAGTTTACAGCAACTCTACACCTAACCTGCCTAACAAAAAAGAAAAAAAACTCACAAATTCTTGCTAATCTTTAGAGGCTTGCCAGACATGAAGCAACTTTAGATGCTTAACTTCATGAGAACTGCTCCTTTTATTAGACACAAGGAGCATAAGTGCCCAACTGCTAAGGAGAATCAAGTCTCCACCTGCGATTACCTCCAAAAATGACAAAGGCAAAATAACAAAACAAAATAACAACTAGTGTTCTGGTGGAAGAGCTGGAAAACTAGCTCAGCTGGAACACACTAAACCACAGTTTCCTCCACTACTTAAGGCAAAACACACTCATATAAAGAGCTGGGAGAGTAAGTGTCACTCCAAAGAGCTTAAAAATTCTCAATAATCACTTCCTCATGTGCAAACAATCAATATGACCCCAAAACCACACTGCCCCTGAGAGGTCAAACGCCCCCAGGGCAGTCCATCCAACGTCAAGAGGTTGGTGGGAGTCATAACAGTGTGATTCATTGATATTCTTATTGTTTTTGTGTGTGAGAAGGTATTTATGAATGTTAATAAAGATGTGGGGTTTACTTCTCTCTGCAGGCTGTCTAACTGCAGTATTACAGAGGAAGGATGTGCTGCTCTGGTTTCAGCTCTGAAATCAAACCCCTCACACCTGAGAGAGCTGGATTTGAGCCTTAATAAACCAGGAGAGTCAGAAATGAAGCTGCTCTCTGATCTACTGAAGGATCCACACTTTAAACTGGAGAAACTATTGTGTGTTACTGACTTTCTCTATATGAACTTACAATCATACCAATAGAAAATGTTATTAGAATGACACATGCAGTGTTTGTATATGTGTGTATGTGTGTGCATGTGTATGTGTATTTTTGTATGTGTTGTTTGAGTATAAGTGTGTGTGATTTTCTGATATCCCAATTATTCTGTGCTTGTGTGAAATCGTGTTTTTGAATGTTAATAATAAAGATGTGAGTTTTTCTTCTTGCCTCTACAGACTGTTTAACTGCAGTGTTACAGAGGAAGGCTGTGCTGCTCTGGTTTCAGCTCTGAATTCAAACCCTTCACACCTGAAAGAGCTGAATCTAAACCTCAATAAACCAGGACAGTCAGGAGTGAAGCTGCTCTCTGATCTACTGCAGGATCCACAGTGTAAACTGGAGACACTACAGTGAGTTACTGAAGTACTGTCTCTATTGGAAAAAATGAGAGAGAGAAAATGTACAAGTGACAGAGAGAAATAGAGAGGGAGAGAGATGAGACAACACCATGGCCAATCTTATGTTAAAAGATGGGGTGAAATAGAGCAATATATGCACTTGTAAAGCTGAAGTGGATGTGACAGTTGGAGATTAATCCAGCATCAAGGGTTGTTTTTACATAGTGAACATCAGATGTGGATAAACACTCTGCAACAACCTGCAAATACAGTAAACATGATTACACCTGAAGTACATTACAAACTCATAAACACCCTGCAAATACAGTAAACATGACTACACCTGAACAACATTTCACAAATGCACGGCAAATACAGAAAACACATGCAACTACAGAAATGCTGCAAAGCCGTCACAACACAACAGAAGTGAGCCACAACACAATGAAAATGTTTCTGTAACAAAGTGGTTGTAGTATCTGATGTAAAATGATTGGCAAACTAAAACTGAGGTAAACAGAGGAAACTGAACAGAAGGTGAAAGTAAATTGTGGTATGTTCATTAGCTAACATGACTTAATTATTTACAGATCAAATTACTTCATACATAAAGCATAAGAAAAATGTTATCATATTATTGGCATAAATTGTTAGAAGCCTAATGAGTCCTTCTCTGCTCTGGGATTGATAACTACTGTCCTACTTAACTGTTAGTCTAAATGACCAATTACAAAACACATGCAAGTACAACTCAAATACTACTCCACTTTTAACTAAAGAAATGCATCAAACATGAATACTCAGTATTGTTTTTTGAGTGTGCAAGACAGTAATGGCTACTATCAAACATTTAATAACTAAGTGAACATAAATAAACAAATTAATCTGTTTTTTAAATTCTTGTTACATGCATGTGTGTGCACTACTGCTCAAATGTTTGTTGTTCAGTAATAACTCATACAGACTCCAAAACTTATATCAATGCTTTATTGACAGTTTACAGTATTTTTGGAAACAATATGAAGTTAGGACTTATCATATGATATAAAAGACATAATTCATACAACATTTGTGATCAGTTTTTTGGCCACAAAGATCTACAAAAACAAGTTCAACAGCCCAATATCATTTACCTTGGCAATGCATGTCTATGAATTTTAAGGGCAGGGATTCTGAAAGAGCTCTGAAGGTTGGGGTTTGTTTTGCTGTTAACTTCTAATGCTAACAGTCATTCTCTGTATACAGCGCCCGTACGGGTTCAGTCTCACATGATGGATATTTTCCAAATATCCAAAGTTCATTTTCTTCATGGAATTCCTGTGTGGAATGTGGAGGAAATTTTCACTGTTCCTTGAAGGATGAAAGTATTTTTTTGGATCTACAACCAGATGGTTGGAAACTGTTTAGTTTCATATGTGAAATTGTCTTAATTTATTAACATCAATTTATTCAATTTGGAGTGAAATATGATTTCTGCTGTTGTTTTTATATACAGTTTAAATGTCAGCTTCAGTTAAATTATATAAGAGGTGATTTAAAAGCTAAAATGGGAAAAATAAATCAATATTAAACATTGCAAAGTCATCCGGAGTACAGTAATGAAATTTTGCAAGTACACTTTAAGTTTCTTGTGCAAGTAACCAATAAAAAGTCATATCTCTACATAAAATTCAAAATTTGTTTTTATGGGAAATTCACATATTCATCAAAATGTTCTATGGATTTCATATGAAAAAAAATATATATTTAAATTTGATCATGATATTATTAGCTTTTCTTTTTTGTGACATTTGTTATGACCCAGCCTAGGGTCAGGCCATAACAGAAAATGACAGTGGGCTCTCCCACCACCATTTAATTTAGAAAACAGCAGGTTAATTTAGACTTTCTTAAAAGTATGCAAGTTTGCAAGAGGCTAAGCTGAATGATATAATGGCTTCAGGGATGTTATTTTGTTGGTAAATGTCCTTTCATCCTTAGAGAGTTTCTGTTTTCATTTACACTGCATCTACTCTTAGCATCACATCTTTTGTGACTCATGCAAATTTATGCCTGATTTTAAAAAAGCGATAAAAATCAACACAAACTCTCAGCTGCTCAAGCTTCAGTAAATTAAGCGGACAATGTAATCAGTGGCATCTCCACACATTTTAGTGCAATCCTCACCCATTTTGTGCAGCGTGAACTTGCAGGTATACACATGAGCGAGACTGGGGCATTCTGTATTTTTTCATGTGCACAGTTGTTAGACTCATGTACCAGTTTTGTACAGAACATGGGCAGAATGTGTCAAAGAAATTGCATCTGCAAAAGGCTCAGTACAGCAGGCACAGAATGTACATGAGTGAAAGAAAGAGAGAATGTACGTGTGTGTGTGTCTGCATGCATGTCTATGTGATTCTCTAATATTTTGCTTTTCTTCTGTGGATGTTTATGATTGTCACCTAAAGATTTTCATTCTTGTTACATTCTTGTTACTTTTTTCTCTCTACAGGCTGGAACAATGTAGTATCACAGAGGAAGGTTGTGCTGCTCTGGCTTCAGCTCTGAAATCAAACCCCTCACATCTGAGAGAGCTGAATCTGAACTACAATAAACCAGGAGAGTCAGGAGTGAAGCTGCTCTCTGATCTACTGAAGGATCCACACTGTAAACTGGAGAACTTACAGTGAGTTACTGAACTACTGTCTCTATAGGTCAAATCAGCATTATAACAAGAGAAAATAACTTACTATAGGGTTAATAAAGAAACGTTCACTTGATGAGAGTGTTTCCCCACTCCACATTCAAAAACAAGAACTTACCTAAACAAAAACCACCTGAGCTTTTGGTTCTTATTCACTTCCCACCTACTCAAGAGATAGCTGAAACCATTTATGAAACTCACTTTAGTGTTTTTTATGTCATTCAAAAACATTTAATTTAACTTAATTAGATACGTTGCTTACTAGTTAGCTTACCTTAATGGCTAATGTGAAGTAAACTGAACCATTCTGCACACACACTCACACAAATGTCTATTTTTACATAGAGTCATGTGTAAAATCAAACAAAGCTTCAGATTTTCTCTGTTGATTGTAAAAATATGAGCAAAAACACTTCTGTTCTGTAGCACATAACATATATGCTAATACTGGTCATACTTTATGTCACCTTATATCAAACTCACTAAAAAATCATAATTCTAAAAAAAGCTATTAACATAGTAATATACCATATATTGGTTACATATTAGTGAAAAATCCATTACATGTGGGTACATTTGACATTACAGTTTCAAACACAAAACTGTACTGTTATTGCCAATGTTGTGTCTGTATGTTTGTATTTATTGTAAATTATTTATGTTCATCTTTATGTTTAGAAAAATCTGATTTGGTCTGTTGGACACCAACAGAAGATGCTATTAGAATGACAAAAAACATTTTCTTTGTACAACTGTGTGTGTGTTTGTGTGATTATCTGACAATTTGTTATTCTTCTATGTTTGTGTATGAGATGATGTTTATGAGTTTTTCTTCTCTCCACAGGCTGTCCAACTGCAGTATTACAGGGGAAGGCTGTGCTGCTCTGGTTTCAGCTCTGAAATCAAACCCCTCACACCTGAGAGAGCTGAATCTGAACTACAATGAACCAGGAGAGTCAGGAGTGAATCTGCTCTCTGATCTACTGAAGGATCCATACTGTAAACTGGAGAAACTACAGTGAGTTACTGAATTACTATGTCTGCGTAAACACACAAACACACCAACATATGTTATTAGACTGCTAGAACTCTTCTACAATCACAGCATGTGTGAGTGAGCTAGAGATAGAATGTTTATGAGAGATAAAGTATGTACATGAGTGACAGTATGTACATCAGAGAGAGAAAAAACATTTATTAGTGAGAGAGAGAAAGTATGTGTATAACTAGCGTAAAACTGCTTAAACCACTGAACTGTGAGCCATGGCTTCCATTCTGTGTTACATGTCATAAAACTACACATAAGTAGGAACAATTGCTCTGGCTTGTAAAAGATGAAACAGTTTGTTGTCAGTGTGAAGGCACAATGTAGAAACCGCTCTCCTTTCAGCTCTCACTGCAGACTGCATAAATTCTTACAAAATATGGTCTTTTCCAGAAAATATTTACATTAATAAAAGAATAAATGATAATACACATTTAAATGCTAGTTATAAAGCGGTTAAATCTTCACAAGAAATAAAATTAATCAATTGCAGACATATCATACCACTGTATGACAATTTTAAATGTTTTCTAGTGGGAAATAGTACAACCCCGTTTCCAAAAAAGTTGGGTTGCTGTGCAAAATGTAAATAAAAATAGAATGCAATGATATGCAAATCATGTAAACCATATTTTAAAGGAAAATACTACAAGACAACATATTAAATGTTGAAACTCAGAAAAGCATTTTTTTTTTTGAAAAATACATGCCTATTTTGAATTTGATGCCAACCACACGTTCCAAAAAAGTTGGGATGGGGCGTGTTTACCACTGTGTTTCATTGCCTCTTCTTTTAAAAACTCTGTAAGCATTTAGGAACTGAGGCGGCCTACTGCTGTAGTTTAGAAAGTGAAATGTTTTACAATTCTTGCTTGATATAGGATTTAAGATTCTCCTCAATTCAGGATCTCCTTTGTTGTATTTTTCATTTCATAACTCTCCAAATGTTTTCAAGCAGGTCTGGACTGCAGGCAGGTCACTTTAGTACTGGGACTCTTTTAATATGGAGCAATGCTGTTGTAATGCAGAATGTGGTTTTACAATTTCTAGCTAAAAACAATCAAGGCCTTTCCTAAAAAACGACATCATCTGGATGGCAGCAAATGTTGCCAAAACATTTATATATTGTTCAGCATTAATGGTGCCTTCACAGATGTGCATGTCACCCATGCCATGTGCACTAATGCACCCCTATGCCATCATTAATACTGACTTTTGAACTGTGCACTGATAACAAGCTGAGTAGTCTTTAGCCCGGAGGACACAGTGTCCATGATTTCCAAAAAGAATTTGACATGTTGATTTGTCGGACCACAGGACACTTTTCCACTTTACCTCAGTCCATTTTAAATGAGCTCTGGCCCAGAGAATGTGGCAGTGTTTCTGGATCCTGTTTATAAATGATTTTTTCTTGCCATTTTAGAGTTTTAATATGCATTTGTGGATGCACAGATAAACTGTATTCACAGACGGTGGTTTTCAGAAGTGTTCCTGAGCCCATGCAATAATTTCCACTACAGAATCATGTCTGTTTGTAATGTCGTGCAGCCTGAGGGCCCTGAAGATCATGGCCAGCCAATGCTGGTTTTCAGCCTTGTCTCTTGTATACAGAGATGTCTGCAGATTCTCTGAATCTTTTAATGTTATTATGTACTGTAGATGATGAAAAACAAAAGTTAATTGCTATTTTATGTTGAGAAACGTTATTCTTGAATTGTTGCACTATTTGCTTGTGAAACCCCTGGTGAACCCCTCCTCATCTTTATTTCTGAAAGACTCAGCCTCTCTGGGAAGCTCTTTTTATACACAATCATGTTACTGACCTGTTGCCAATCAACCACTAGGAGTTTTTTAATTTTACACAACTTTTCCAGCCTTTTGTTGCCCCTCTCCTAACTTTTTTGGAATGTGTTGTTGGCATTAAATTGAACATGGGTGAATATTTCTCAATAAACAATAACATTTCTCAGTTTTAATATTTGATATGTTGTCTTTGTACTATTTTCAATGAAGTATAGGATTTAAATGATCTGCACATCGTTGCATTCTATTTTTATTTTCATTTTGCACAGTGTCCCAACTTTTTTTTTGGAAATGGGGTTTTAATATTCAGATATCTTGTGCATTACAACATATTCATTTAGGATCAAAATCCCACATAACATGTAAATGATGGACACTCCTTAACAAGCTATATTGGAAAATATTTCATATTGCTAAGTACTACAGAGTAATTGCATTGCAAAGGTTTCTGCCCTTTTCTACTAACACAAAACACATGAAGAAGACATTTTGCTTTCAACATTACTCCTTACTGTACAAAGATGGAAATACAATACAGAGTAACATACCTGTGTTGTAAAAGGTAAAACTTTTGTCAGTGAGAAGGCACAAGATAGAAACAAGACAAGATAATAAGACAAGATAATAAAAAAATAGCTTCTCAATATTTTAATAAATACATAGTGCCATGGCTGCTAGTTTGGTTTGTGAGTTGGCTAACAACACTGCCTCTCTTACTCAACATAAAAACAAACTTGTGCAACCACAACACAAAACAAAAGAAAATGTGTGTTGTTCTTTTAACCTTCAAAATGAAAGCTTTTATGAACATTTATCACAATATTTAGTCCTTAATACTCATTTTTTCATTTTCATTTTCACAACTTTTCTCTATGCACCTCTGCTTTCAGCTCTTATAGCAAACTGAAGGGGAAAATGGGTGATTGCACAGATCCCACACATCTCTGAAAGAGACAGCACTGCTTTTTAACCCAAGTGATCTCCGTTAGATTTCAACTCTTTTTAAATCTATACAGCACAGGATGAAATATACACTGTGCCATAGACTATAAACTTCACCTGATATAGGTTTGAAAAACAACCTTTTACACCTACTATACATGAGGGAAAGAGAGAGAGAGAGAGAGAGAGAGAGAGAGAATGCACATTAGAGAATGTGCAAGAATGAGTGAGAATATACATATAAGTGTGTGTGTGTTTCTCTGATATTCTGTTGTTCTTCTGAGTTTGTGTGTGAGATGATGTTTATGCATGTTAATAAAGATGAGTTTTTCTTCTCTCTACAGTCTGTCAAGCTGCAGTATTACAGAGGAAGGCTGCGCTGCTCTCGTTTCAGCTCTGAAATCAAACCCCTCACACCTGAGAGAGCTGGATCTGAACTCCAATAATCCAGGAGAGTCAGGAGTGAATCTGCTCTCTGATCTACTGAAGGATCCACACTGCAAACTGGAGAATCTACAGTGAGTTACTGAATTATTGTCTTTATAATAACAAATAAACACACCAACAGAAGATGTTCTTAGTATGACATAAAATTCTTTTACATACAGGGTGTGTGCATGTGTGTGTGAGTGAGAAAGAGAATTACATGAGAGCGAGAATGTATGTTTGTGTGTTTGTATGTGTGATTTTCTGACATTCTGTTCTGTGTTTGTGTATAAGATGATGTTTGTAAACATTGATTAAAATATGTTTTTCTTTTTCTTTGTACAGTTTGTCTAACTGCAGCATTACAAAGGAAGGCTGTGCTGCACTGGTTTCAGCTCTGAAATCAAACCCCTCACACCTGAGAGAACTGAATTTGAACTTCAGTAATCCAGGAGAGTCAGGAGTGAAGCTGCTCTCTGATCTACTGAAGGATCCACACTGTAAACTGGAGATACTACAGTGAGTTACTGAATTACTGTCTCTATATAAAAACACAAACATGATCATTGCCATGTAGGTGAGGCTTTTTGCTCAGCACTGGACAGGTGGAAGCCCCATTATGGTCAAACTGGTCTGGAAGGTGGGTAATCTGACCTGATCAAAGCAGAAATACTACATCTGAAATGAATAGGTGTTAATTTATCAAATAAAAAAAATGACCTAACCTGTTGCCCCATATGTGAACATATGTACAATATACAGTGTACATTTCTCAAAAGTTTTATTGTGATGTATATCACAGTATTATGATTATTGTGAATAGACTTCCTAACATCCATAATGCAGAAGGTCGGATTTGTACACCTGTTTTCTGCAGCATTAACATAATGTAGAAGGTTAACATGTTCGGCTACACTGATCACCTGTTCAAGCTGCAATTCTGGGCAAAAAATAAAAGTATCCTGAAGTGGATCTTCTTTTTTAGTACAATTAAAACATGAAATACAATGGCATAAGAAAAAGATGTATTTTCAAGTTTGTATCACAAACATATATGAGAAGAGATAACATAGAAAGCTTTACAGTGCTTCAATGAGTTAACTCAATCACTGAAAGCTTTCGTTGACATTACAAAAAAAGATAAAATAAATGCATCACTGCTGAAGTTAGGAACCCAAGTCTATGTATGTGAGAAATTACCTTTACCATGGTGGGGCATCATACTCACATGTCTAGCATGCTGAGTCACTAACACATGCTGTTCAGTAGTGTTGGGCTGGGTATTAATAATTGTTAATGGGTGTTAATAGTTTTTTTTTCAACTTATTTGCAAATGAAGCCTATAAATACATTTAATAGTTTAGAACAGCTATTAGTTCTTCCAGTTTTCTTCTACAACAAGTGTTGCCTATTGTTGTTATACTGTTGTTTTAATATGCATTTTTGTTTACATTTTGAATTGCATTTTAATTGTTAATTCTTTTCTATTATTGCTGTCATTGGTGGTGGTATATTACTACAGTATGAATAGCCTAAATAATGAATTAACAATGTACTGTCAGTCACAACTGTAATATTTTTACATAATACTACAATGTTTGAAATTTTTTTCAAATTTCCATCTGTGAACGATGCATTACACCATGTTAGTTTAATGCTAATCTCCATCACTGTATGGTAAACACATCGCTGTCTAGTGGAGTGGTCTTTTGTATCAAATGCAGCACTAAGATCAAGCCGAACCAGCAAAGATATGTTACCTTGTTCACAGAATAATAAGAGATTGTTTACAGTTTTCATTAGTGCTGTCTCTGTACAATGATGAGGCCTTAACCCATACTGAATTTATTCATGTATACAATTCTATAGAAGTAGGAAATTACTTGTGCCACAGATTTTTCTGAAATCTTTGATATAAAGGGAAAAATGGAAAGAGGGCTACAATTTGACAGCTCACAGGGATCAAGATTAGGTTTCTTAATCAGAGGTCTAGTTACTGCTAGGTAAAGAGTTTTTGGTATATAGCCAAGGCTGAGAGAGGAGTTTATTATTGCTAGAAGAGGCTTTGAAATTTCTACAAGTAAACTTGTAGGAATTGAATCTAATATGTAAGTAGAAGGTTTGGAGAAGTACATCATTTTAACTGGCTCTGTCTGTCAGCAAGGTAATGTAACGGGTTTAGCATTTTTTAATATTATTATTGCTAGAACCTTATGTGAGGGTGTGAGGTAACCCGGATTTATTTGAAGTCTACAGACCAGGGCAAGAGAGAGAAACGCTCGCACCAAGGATGCTTCAGAAAAGGGAATTTATTGGCTAAATATCAAACTACTTTTGGACTACATTCAATGATAAACAATAGAAAATAAAACAAGAAAACAAAACAAAACAAAGTGATAGTAATGAAAGACAAAATAGCTCGAGTAAAGTGATTCACGGCTAAATGGAATGAGGCAGTGTGGTTTGGGGAGTCTCTAGAGAATTAACCTAAGCCTGGACGGGAATAACTATATGGTTGGATGTACCTATAAAAGCTCTCTTATTAAATAAATTGGCGTCAGGGCCCTGACTGCAAATTGATGGTTCCAGCTTACGTGGGAGTCGGGGGCTGACTTCAGGCGGGGTCGTCTCAGGACAGACTTGATTGGGCGGCCTGTTCACAGATCAGTGCGTGGCTCTGGGTGCGATGCTGGGTCTCCGTGGCGTCCGAACCGCTCCCACTCCACTGGCGAGGTTCAGGTTGCAATCAGGGTTCTGAGGCTGGTGATACTAATTTAACTAACTACCTCTCTTTAGCAGAATCTAAAGTTATGAATATATCCTCCCGGGCCAGACAAGAAATATCCTCCTTCCTTCTTTGAGGGTGGTTCAAACTTAAGGTGTGTAGACGAACAGGCAAGTTACAAACAAACCAAGGTTTCAGATCTGAGAATTTAGCGTTCTAATACTTCTGACCTGTCTTTCTGACCAAGGCCGGCACAAACTTAGAAACTTAGCTATCCTTCTGTTGCGAACGCAGGAACTCCCGCACATTTGCGGTGCACTCTGGTTTTGTTCAGCTGGAGGCCCTTCCCTTCAGGGGTGGAACCCAGGTGTTGATAGGTTCTCTCACCTAACGGGTAATTAGCTATTCCTAATTCTTGATCCTGATTGGTGGGGGTTTCTCTGTGCGCCCTACCAGGGAACTCCCTCCTTTGTTCCTTCTAGGTTTAAACGTTTAATTCGATTAAACAAACAGCTTTCAGATCAATTAGGTTAAAATAAAATCCATGACCTACAAACCTAACATTTAGGTATCTACATGCAGTTTCTACCCACATTGTCTGAGAACACTATGGCAAAGGCAGAACAATCTTGTAGGTAATCCTTGGGTGTCTTTTCATTGCAGGAACTTTCAACACAGTACAATCATTACTTCAAATGACTAAATCAAGTAAACAAGAAGAGTAAAAATAGAAGGCTAAATAAAACAAGTGAAAAGGAAACCTAGGTGCATACTTTCAGTGTTCTAAATACATAGTGTTCTAAAAACATTACTTTAAATGGTTATTTAGGTAACTTTCAGACGGTTATCCCACACATTCCTAATGTCTGGTAAAAGAAAGGATGAATACACACTAAGAAACTGAGTATAAAAATACAGCATCATCACTTGTAAATTAGATAAGGTTGACAGTCAAACATGCATATCAATAAGTTTTCCTGGAGTCCTTTGTGAGTAACAGTGCTTAGGTGGTGGCGTGGTAATTCTCGTTTTCACCCCTTGGGGTTGCTGCGGGTCCATGCTTGAGATCCCTAGGGAATTTAGGAAGTTGTAATTTTGCCGTCTAAAGTCGTACAAATTCTGTTTTGGTATGTCTAGTTTAGTTAAAAAGAGTTCTAATGAATGGTTGTAGTTTGGAATGGACAAACACCTTAGAAATGTACTTTCTGTTACTTAAGATAAAAAGTTGTCCACAGTACTTTGGAGAGGCATCTGCCACATTCTAGCGTAGGTTTCCTGCTTTTCTCCAGGTTAAAGGAGAGGGGTGCAGCCTCTTGATTCAGCCATAAATCTGGCTGAGCCTGGGTAGGGGGACAGATTTACACCCCTTCTTCCAGTCTTGCTGGAGCCAAAAGGCCCTTAACTTTTGGGTAAACACTCTGCTTGAAGAGTTTCAGCCAGTGTTCGCTACAGTAAATCATTCCAGCTTCTCTACAGTAGTTACACTGTACTCAGGACCTAGATTGGCTTTGTAGGCACCAGGATTGTAATGGTTAATTGTGCATTTTGAATGTTTGCCTGATCATTTTATTATTGAAGAAATTCATAAAATCATTGCTTCTGCAGACTGATGGTATATGTATATGAGTTTAGTAGCTGTTTACTGTTTAATTAATTTAGTGACTGTGCTAAATAATAGAATAGATCTAGAATTATTATTATTATTTTTAATCAAAGAGTAAAGATTGCTGCAGTCAGGTGCCATTTTAGCTCTAGCTTTCAGTCTGTTTTAAAACTCAAGTATGATCATTGTACCATGGTGCAAGCCTTTTCTGCTTTACTTTTTTACTTTTTAGTAGAGCCACATTATCCAAATAAAAAAAAAACCAAAAAGCATCCTCTAAGCATCTTCTAAGGCATTACACAGCAGTGTGGCAATGAACATATATAATGAGATTTCATATGAGTTCAGGCAATGATCTGAGATTGCTGTGCTCTAGGGAAGAATGGCTAAATGATCTGTGTTTACACCAAATGTCAAAATTAAGTCAAGTGTGGTTTTAGTAATGAGTGGGCCCTATTATATTGTGAGTGAACGAACAGAGTCTAAGATGCAAATGCCTTACTTAGTGGATTCTGTGGTTTGTCAAGGTGGATATTAAAATTATTAAATTGTTACTTTATTGGAGAACATTTTTAAATTTCATAGAAAATCAGCAGATTCCTGTAAGAACTTGCCCTGGTGGTCTGTAGATTATAATTAATGAAAATGAAGTCTTATTCCTCAAATATTTACACACACAAAAAAGAGAAAGAATTTCAAAAAGAAGAGAGGTTTCTGTGACATATAGAGCATCAGAATCATGATCAGTAATAAGTTAATGTACTACAACAATCTTAGACATAAGAAATCTTATGTTAAGCAGTCCTAGTTTTAGCCCAAACATTAACATTAAAATTAACATTTCTTGGGGAGTCCCAGAAGGTTCAGTTTTAGGGCTTTTGCTTTTCTTTTTGTACATGTTACCTCTAGGTGATGTCATTAGGAAACATAATATCAATTTTTATAGCTAGGCTGATGACATGCATTTATATATTTCCAGTTCTTCTGATAATCAAGACTGTGTAGACAGACTAACCAGCTGTGTGTTAGATAATTCTCAGTGGATGTCACAGAATGTTCTAGAACTACCTCACAAAAAGTGAAATACTGATCCTTTTCCTAAAACTCCAAGAAAAATGCTTTGTGAAAAGCTAGGTTCTTCAGCTTCATATGCCAAACCTGAAGTTCGAAACCTGGGAGTGATCTTAGACT